TCTTCCTGCTTCATCACTCCTGAGTGCTGGGATAACACGAATGTACATTAAGCCTGGCTTAAATCCTCATTTTAAAGTGAGGCAGTGGATAAATAATTTCCCACTCAGATACTTGGGAGCTGCAAATGAAAGCATCGATGCTGTGTTGTGTCTTCTCATTTAATTTAGATCACCTTGGTTGCTTTTGTTTTTAAAGCATGTTAAGGTTGAATATTTTTATGAAAACCAACATAAACTCCACAAAACAAAAAATAGATTTCTGAAATCTGTTAACCTAGTTGACTTTAGTTTTAAAGGTGTAAGAATGTTCATGTCCCTTTAGAGGTCTTACCATACTCTGTGATATGTGCCTCTGGATCTGAGATCATTGGTGTCAATATGCAGATTCCTTCACTTATTAGTAACAGCTACTGTGTAAGGCAATTTTTATTTTGAAGTCTCAAATTTTTGCACATTAGTCTTACAGATCAGAGGAAAGAATGTGAATATACTTAATTCTCTATGAAATATTTCTAAAATCCACTTAGTCCACCAACACACAGACCAGACTGTGTTGCAGGAGAAGTTCTTGGACATCTTGTTGTTGTTTTTCAAAGGGAAGTCAAAGGTGTTTGGCTTAGACTGCATTTTGTTAACAGTCCCCTTTGTCATTGATGTTCCATGAGTCACCACCCCACCCCAAGAGAATTTTCTGAATGGCTAGTAGCTGGCATACGAGATTTGCTATCTGCTTAGTAAGCTATAATGATTATCTAGGAGTTTGACTTAAGAATGAACAAGGGTGTGTGCAGTAGGGAATCCTGGCTTTTAAACTAACCAGAGCTCTAAGTGTTGAACCAGGCAGATGGACAGAAGGATAATAAGGCAAGAAGTCCTCCCTTTTCCTGGCTACCAAACTTATTGAGGAATGTGGGTTTGGAGTTCCATTTTATGAGAGAGGTCTTTGCTCCTACTCTCCCCAGCCAGTACCATGATGAGCTGAGGCTCCATGGCTTTCTTCCTCCACCTCAGTGTTGCCCTTGTATTTTAGGACTAGTGCTAGGTGTTTACTGGCCCCTGCAGAGGTCCTCGAATCTGAGGGAGTGTTCTAGAATACTTGCATAAAGGGTGTGCCTTGATAAAACCTCAGGCTGCTGGCTTGGTCTTAAAGAAATTGGACACAACTCTAAAGGGTCTAAAGTTAAAATATCACCCATTTGAGAAAGCATTTATTTTATAGTCTTTATGTATTCTAGCCTAAGTGTACTGGGTTCCAAAATCCACTCAGTTCTGGAAAAGAAAAACAATAGGCTCACATACAGTAAAGAGTTTCCATGTGTGATGTTGCTTTTTACCTAATTGAAAATAGGGCAGTTTTTATTTTTTTTCATGGTTTCATTGTCTTATTCTAGAACATTTTTTTTCTCTTCCTTGAATCCTATTTTTATACTCCAGAGGAATCATCTAAATTTCTTATGTAAGGCATCCCAGGGAAGTTTTTTTTTTTAAAGGATGGTAAAAAAGTCCTGCTGATATTATTTTGTAAGAGTAACATCTTAGCTCTCATGAAATCAGGTTTGTTACTGGGCGCCTTTGATGGACCATCTTAGCATTAGCTGCTATCCATCTGGAAGGGAGCTTACCTAGGAGTCTGGTGCCAATTATGGTGGCTCTGTGGCTTGAAACTTAGAAGCAGAGGATGGTGACTTTGAGACCAGCCTGGGCTACATGGTAAAACTGTCTCAAAATGAAAAACAAACAAAAAAGAGATAAAGGAAAAAAGAATCTACCTGAAGTAAACCCTGGGCAAACCTGAAGAGAGAGTTGTGTAATCCCAGAAGTGTTATCACATACACACATTGACCTGAATGAACACAGCAAGAACTGAAAATAAGCAGATCTCCAGCTAGGTCAAGGGACACAAGAGATGGGATTGTAGAAATTATCCATCACCTTTAAGTCTCTTAGATGCCAACAAAGCATAGCACCAAAGCCCCTACAGACTGAAATTCAGTCATAGCATTGAAATTATATTGGGAAAAAAAGCATTTCTTTCAAGGACAGTGAATCTAGAAAAAAGCAGGAAGTGTTGCCTTCATCTTTGGGAACTAGTAGCTTGCCTCTGATCATCAAGTTGAAATAAATTTTCTAATCACTGAGGAATTTACAAGTGTTGTTCCTGTAGTGGGGCTGTGCTCTGGTGCTCAGTACTCAAGGGCTTCTGATGTGGAGCCAGAGCTAGAACATAGGACATGGGATCCCCGCTGGGCTTTGCTGCACTTTCCCTTGCATATGTGGGTTTATCATAGACAGAAGAAGCAGGGAGTCCAAGAATTGGTTTTGTTTTTAGCACAAAAAAGCACATTTTCTGTCTCAAAATTCCTGTCTGGTTGCCATGTGCCCTCAGTCTCTTCCACCCCTCTTACTCTCCCTGCTTTCATAGCCTTCACGTTCCATGAGTACTCATCAGACATGTGGTGTCTTTAGCTTTGGTTTGTCTGGTGTCATCACACAATTAGATTGGGGTTATATGTTTTTGATAAAAATAGCACAGAAGCGATGAGTTAGTGAGTTATCTCTTGATTATTTGATGGTAGTGTCTGCAGACCCCAGAATTTCACTAAAGCCAAATTTGTTTTAATTATATCTTTTTTTCTAAAGCAGATACTATTCTATCAGACTTATTGATAGCAAAGTCATTAGCCTTGAGCTGTTGAGAACTGAACTTTGGGCCTCTAAGTGTTAATAGCTGCTTTGTTAGTAGAAGTCTATGATACCCTTTAAACCTATTGGTAAGTCATGTGGCTCACTGCTCCCTGAGCTTTACCAGGCTACCATCAGATGCAAGGAAAGGGCTGTCAGCCCAGAGAATTGAGACAGTTGTACAGTTTCTCAGCATCAGCTTCACTTAGTTGTAGTATTAATTAACTAAGGCTCTTTTTAAGGGGATGAGGGAGGGTGAGAAAATAGGGAGAAAGATAAATGAGATTTAACATATCATTCCCTGGGTCTACAACCTACATGAATATTTGTCTGTGCCCAGAATGAGGCTGTATTTTGACTGTGAAACAGTCATATTAATTATTTACTTAGAGGTTAGTGCATAAAAAGAACTTCTAGTAGAGAGGATGTTTCAAAGGAAATTAACTGTAAATTGTACTACCAGCATATTTGGTAATGATCCATGAGTTACAGGGTATGGTTTCTATAGCAACTTATTAAATTGAATGACTTTTTGTGGAAGCCAAAGGATTAGATGTACATGTTTTATTTAGAGATCTTACGGTTATTAATGATCACTGCCAAAATAGATTGGTTGTACAGTGATCATATGGTAGTAGAGGGTTAAGGTGGGGTAGTGCGGAGAAAGTTAAGAACTTGTCTCTTAAAACATAATTTTTCTGTTTGGCGGTGGTGGCATACTTCAGTTCCAGCACACAGAGGCAGAGGCAGGTGGATCTCTGAGTTTGAGCTCAGTCTGGTCTACAGAGTGAGTTCCAGGACAGCCAGGACTACACAAAGAAGCCCTGTGTTGAAAAACAAAAGCACACACAAAATAACCAATGTTTCTGATGGTAACATTATAATCCAAGTCTACTAGAAACAAGAAGCCTGTCTTTAATGTATGCTCCCATGTGGAAAATCATCATGGCCTTCTTTTTTTTTTTTTTTTTTTTTTTTTTTGTTTTGTTTTGTTTTGTTTTTACGAGACAGGGTTTCTCTGTATTGTTTTGGAAGCTGTCAGTCCAGCTTGGCCTCGAACTCACAGATCCGCCTGCCTCTGCCTCCCGAGTGCTGGGATTAAAGGTGTGCGCCACTACTGCCCGGCTCATCATGGCCTTCTAAAGCCACATTAGCACACATGTATGCAATCCCAGCACTCCTACTGCAAGGTGAGAAATAGAGACAGAAGAATCTTCAGAAGCCCATAGGCCAGCCAGCCTGGCATAAACATCAGTGAATGAGGAAAACTGTCTCAAATTAGGTAGAAGGCAAGGAATAACACCCAAGGTTGTCCTCTGACTGCTACACACACACACACACACACACACTCACACACACGCACACACACACAGCACGCACACACTCACACACTCGCACACGCACACTTCTTTAAAATACAAAAGTACAAATTAAGTTCCATTTGCCATAAAGTAGTCAGGTCAGTCCCGTTGAGATTTCAGTCAGACACTGAATGAGATCTACAGTGTCTGGAACTTGGTTTTTCTACAAGTATTATCAAGATTAAGAGGGGGATGTTACTAGAATAGAATCTGCAGGGAGTTTCTGAGCCTAGATGTTGGTCAGAATCATAACAGACCCAAAAGACCCCACTGCAGCTCTTTATGTAGTAGGTCTTTAGGTCTAACCTGGAGTTCTGTATCTTTAGCCACTCAAACTTGACTCTATTTCAGATGGCTCTTGCAAGAACCACTCTGAGAAATACAGACCTAGAGTATAGTCCTCACTGCTTTCCTTCCACTAGAGGAAAAGAGAAGTGAGAAGCTGTAGGGACACCCCAAGCTCATCTCTTCCTGACTAAAGTCTGTTCTCTCAGGAGGAGTACTTAGAGCCCCAGACACCAGCTCAAAGATTCTAAAACTCCCCCGCAAGAAAGGCACAGAACAGCACCCAAGGTTGTACATGTTGTTGGGGTCAGTTTTATGACATTAATTGCAGAAGTAGCAAAGATTAACAGAGGCTTTTGGCTTTTTACACATGGGGGGAGAGAGAGAGAGGGAGAGGGAGGGAGGGAGGGAGGGAGGGAGGTGGAGGTGGAGGGACCCTTATTACAGGCTTGCAGATGTCTTGCTGTGCTCTCACATGACAGGACAAAAGAGAATGCAAGCTCGTATCTGTCTGTGTATATAAGGACACTAGTGAGGTTGAGACCCTTCTAATCACCCTCATGACCTCATCTAAACCTGGGTACCTTCCAAAGGCCCATCTCCAAATCCCTTCACTTGAGGGATTAGGGTTTTAGTACTTGGAGTGGGGGTGGGAGGGAGTACATATAAACACCCACCTTATAACATCACCTGTGTCTCTGAAGTTGAAGTTCGAGTTACTTTATCTTTAAAAATAGTTGCAGGCATAGTGGTGCACACCTTTGATCCTAGCACCCTGGAGGCAGAGGGAGGTAGATCTCTGTGAGTTTGAGGCTAGCCTCGTCTACATAGTGAATTCCAGAACAGCCCAGACCATACAGTGAAATCCTGTCTCAGAGTTGGGGTATAGTGAATGCTCTGAAAGGTACTGCTACTAGATGTATTGTGTAGTCAGCAGGTTACTCTTGGCCATTTCTGGGGTGTGGTACATGTGAAGGCCCTGGCCTCCATATATTTTTGTTTTCTCAGTGTACAAAATATAAATCTAATGGCTTCATGCCTTTCAAGAGAAAATGAGTTTCTTGACAGCCTGTATTTCTATACAGCTAGCTTTTGCACAATAAATACATTTTTATGTGTAACAGCACTTCTCTTAACCACAGTAATTTAGATGATCCTGAATAGATGTTGTTACACTTAATTATGGACTGTATGCTCTAGTTGATGTAAGCTTGTTACACATTTAGAAGAGGGTTGTTTATGGCTGAATGGAAATGTTTAAAAATTGCCCCTTTCAGTTTTTTTAAAGGTCTGTACTGTTTTTTGTTTTTTGGTTTTTTTTGTTACAAATTGTAACAATATTCATTTTAGCATTGCCGTCCTCAGTCATACAACACTGACTCTTTGTACCAACTAGCTAATAAGCTGCAGCAGGCAAAACAGCATGTTGTGAACATGCATGACTTAAAGAACAGGAAAACTCAGAATGCTAGGTGGCAGAGAAACATTTCCTGGTAAAAGGGGTGATACAATGAACTACCTCCAATTGCACTTCACCTCGGTTTTGGTTTTGGAGACAGTCTTTGACCACAGAAGTGAGAACAAAGGTCTGCATTTCCTGTCTTCTGAGACGAGGACTCTGTCAGACAGCAGGCAGGCAGACACTCATGTGGCAGAGCAGTCCATGAAAAGAATGTTCAGCATCATTAGCTGTTAGAGAAATGCAGATCACTATATATCATAGCTAACGTAAACACGATACCATATTGTCTGAGGATGCCAGATAATTTCACCTCCCTCCTCCCATTGCTGGTGGGAATGTAAAATGGTATCATGATCCTGGAAAGCAGTAGTCTGACTGTTCCAAAACAGCTAAGCCTGAACTTTGTTTGCAACTGAAAAGTTGCACTCAGTTGTCCTCCTAGGCATTTATCTTAAAATATGAAAATCCACATTCACACAGACCCTGTACAACTGTGCCCTTATTTGTAATAGCCAGAGACTGCAGGTACCTGGCCTTCAACAAGTAAGGAGTTTTTTTGTTGTTGTTTTATGGTAAGTCTATGCCATGAAATACTATGTAGCGATAAAGTGGAATGAGTTATTGATACAGCCATCTGGGTAAGTCTACAGAAAAAGTATGAGGGAAAGCAGACAGTCCAAAAAGGGTACATACTTTATGATGCTGTTTATATGACATCCTTTCTAAAATGACAGACTTTTCCGAAATAGAGAACATATTTATAGTTGCTAGGGACTGAGAAGAAGAAAGTACTGGGTGTGATATTTAGCTGGTGCATCCCAAGTAGAGGGACAATCATTACAGGCTTTGGATATAGCCGTATCCTTTCTTAGAACTCTGCAAGTCTACACTGATCTCACAGTAGAAAGACAGTTTGCTAATTCGTTTATTTATTTGGTGTTTTGGAGCTTGTTCAGGCTGTCCTTGAACTTGTGATCTAGAAAGGCAAATTTTTAAAAATAAAATGAGCCAGGCCTGATGGAAATCGGGAGGCAGAGGGGCAGAGGCAAATAGATCTCTTGAGAGTCAAGGCCATCAGGGTCCTCACAGTGAATTCCAGATCAGCCAGGGCCACATAGTGAGACCATCTTAAACGAAATGAAAGAAAGAAAGGGAAGGAAGGAAGGAAATACATGAGGTGCTCCATGAATATGCTGATGGAACAATATTTCTGCTACACACAGTATATGTCTTTGCTTGTTAGTTGGTCTTAGCTTATTTATTGGTAGTTCATTTGATTTTTTTCCTTTATTCATTCAAGAATAATTATTGTCAGATACAGTGACACGTACCTAAAATAGGATTTTATTTGGCTTTGAGTTCTGGGCCAACTTGGACTACAAAGTGAGACCCTGGAGAAAGATTAGCCAAGTGTGGTGGCACAGCCTTTAATCCCAGCATTCAGGAGGCATGGGAAGGCAGATCTCTGAGCTCAAAAGCAGCCTAGTTCACCTCTCAAGTTTCAGGCCAGCCAGGACTACACAGTGAGACACTGTCTCAAAAAATAAATAAATACTTCAAAAATTGAGTATTTGATGTATGCTTAAACTGTCCTTGCTATCAAAGCCAATTCAGTTATCCTAAAATCAAAGTTACCAGTCTGTAATTGTTTCATAATTATAACAAAAAGGACTCCACCTTAAGAGATTGTAGTAAATTTGCCTTCTGCTGTTCATTTCTCAATTTGCAATTTGAAGCCTTGGTCACATAAATACCCAAGAGAATGATCACGGTTATATGTCTCAGGCTGCCAAGTAGCTAGACCTGGTTGTTGTCATCTCTGTGTAGACTGTTGAGTAGAGTCTGTGCTGCCCTAGGTACTGCTGTCTCTGTAGAACGTGGTGAGTTACATGCAGACGGGAACTGGCAGGTCCCCTTCATTCTCTCCACGGACCAGCACTTTGTCCCTGTTCCACCTAGGATTTACCTGACAACACAGAATGTCTCTCTAGAACTTTGCAGAGATGGAACTTTGAGCTTCGGGCAACTCCAGTACTGGTTTAAAGAGACCACTGTGCACACGGTTAATAGCTTGGACACATCACTCTTGAAGTCTGATAAAAATTGACTTCCAGATTAGCCTAGAACTGGAGGCTTTCTCTGATCCTACATCAAGGAGTACTTTCCATGGATTTGGCTTTGACATAACATTATAGTGTCTGCTGAGTGATGCTGTACTCAACTGCTGGAATGAGAGCTGACAGCCTGAGGGCTAAAGGGTTTGTTTCTGTGTGGGTTGGGTTTTCCAGTGGCAGAATGGGGTGGGAGGTAAAGCCAAGTTTAGGTGCACCTCCCCACCTTTAAATTGCAGGGCTCTGGTGGTCATGATTTGAGTAGTGAGTTGAGATTGAGGAACATATTTAAAAACCCTTTTTGTGCTCTGAATATCGTGGGACACAAGTGTATGCCCCATTGGGTTGGTTGTGTTGAGAAACTGAGGGATTTCCCTAGAAAGTAATGTTAGCATGTGTTAGTCCTGGGGCAGCTCACTGTAGTTTGTTTGATAAAGCATGTATCTGAACAATTGCATCCCTTGTTTTCTTTGTGAAGATGGGTCTCTAGTCTCTGGTGGAGGTGATCTCCCTGGGCCTTTCCTGCTTGGCTGCTGTGGTCAGAGTGGAGTCAGTGAGTTCTAAGCTACCTTGACAGGAGTACAGCTGTGGCTGTTAGGTTCTTTAGTTGATTCTCTACAGGTCCTGAGCTTATTGGTGGTGGGAGACGGAGATAGTGGACTCCATGACAGTTGGCCCCACCCTAGGGGTGTAAAAGGAAGTGGAACTTCCGCAGCCTCAGGCCCCACCTAGAGGCAGCCTCCCAGTCTGTGATGTCTGTCCTTGTATAGGGATATGAGAACAGCAGCAGCTGCAGGAGAGGAATGGGCTCTGAATAGCAAACAAGAGTGTATGTTTAATGAAAACTTTTTTTTGAGGGGGGTTATGTTATTAGTTGGCAAATCAGTGCTGACATATTTATTTTCTTACAGTCTCAAACCATGAATTATGTGGGCCAGCTGGCTGGGCAGGTGCTCGTCACTGTGAAGGAACTCTACAAGGGCATTAACCAAGCCACTTTGTCTGGGTGCATCGATGTTGTCGTGGTGCGGCAGCAGGATGGCTCCTTTCAGTGCTCACCTTTTCACGTGCGCTTTGGGAAGCTGGGAGTCCTGAGATCCAAGGAGAAAGTGGTAAGTGCACGGTGTAGCCTGCTTTAAGGTGGGAAAGGAGCGTTAGTGCACGGTTGTCATGGTGATCTGTCCCCCACCACTCTTTGTTGTTTTTTTTTTTTTAACTTAAATGCTATTGAAGACAGGAGTAAGGAATCTTTGTTTTTGAAATAGTTTCTAAATCCACAAGACTGTATTACAGGAAGTTTCTCCAAATGAAAAAGAAACTGAAATTATGAAGATAAATCCTACATGTTGAAACCTAGAACAAAACTGAAGATAGTTAAAAACAAGGGAGTTGGGCTTATTTTAAAAAGAAAATTTTCCTTTACTTAAGGCAGCACTTTAAAATAGTGTAGGACCAGCAAGATGACTCTTGAGTTAAAACTTTTGCCATCAGTTCTGATGACCCAAGTTTAACTCTGAGACCCACAAGGTGGGACAAGAGAGCATAATAGAAAGTTATTCTCTGACTGCCCCCAACTTGTACCCTGTGGTCCACATGCATGCTTTCAAATCTTAATAAAAGAGAGGCTCCCTAAAAATAACACAGGTTAGAGAGCCATGTGCTCAGTCAGTATAATATATGCATAGACACACAAAGCCACAGGTTCTGTCACTCACTACATAAGTCAGATGTGGTAGCCAGTGCCAATAGTCTAAGCACTGAGGACATACAGGCAAAAAGGTCAGGGTTATCTCCTCAGCCACAAAGCAAAATTGAGGTCAACCTGAGATACGTGAGAACCTGTTGTTGGTTAGTTGGTTGGTAGGTAGGTAGAAAAATACTGTTACACTGATTATGACTAAGTAGACAAAGCTCATGTAATCAGTTGTAGATTATATTTATTTAAAAGAAACTAATTCCCCAATAGAATGTGTTTTTCCTCTTTTGCTTTTATTGGGGGAAGTTTTTGGCTTTTTTAAAATATCCTTTCCCTCCCTTTAGTATTGGGCAGTAGGGAGGTTTTTGGAATGTGTGTGCGCTAAGTTTTAAAACTGAGTTAATTAATAAAACTTTGCAGAGCTTGTAGTTGAGAACTTTTCATGCCCGCTAGTCACTCTTACTAGGATATTGGAGCCCTGTGAGAGCGCTGCCCCACTTCCTGGCACAGGTGGAAATGTGTGTGTTAAAGACCAACATGTGTAAATTAAGAGTGATAAACTTTTTGTTGATATTTTTGGGGCACAAATTTCCCTTTGCTTAAGCTTAGATTTTTCTGAAAGGAAAGAAAATGGGTTTCCCAAAACTAGCCTTTTTCTTTCCTCTTTTCTAAGTGCTACAGAATCATTCTCTACTAGATTTTGCAGACCAGCCTTTACTTGATCCCCTTTAGAGAAAGAGCAAAAGCAGCTACAGTTCTGCTTGCTGACTTAGGCTCTCCCACTCTAGGGCAGCTTTGTCCAACCATACTTAGTGCCTTGGTATTTGTTTCTTTGTAGTTTTTTTGTTTTGTTTTTCGGACAGGGTTTCTCTGTGTAGCCCTGGCTGTCCTGGAACTCACTCTGTAGACCAGGCTGGCCTCGAACTCACAGAGATCACTTGCCTCTGCCTCCTGAGTGCTGGGATTACAATTAAAGGTTAGGGTTAACCGCTGACTTCTTTGTGTGTGTGTTTTTTTTTTTTTTTTTTTTTTTTTTTTTGTAGTGACACTGTAAGTACTTTCAGATTGGAACTGTTTTGGGGGGACTCAAACCATTTATGCCCTGAAGTTTCTCACTAGGTGTTCAAATAAAAGTTCTTTGGGGGTCTTTTCAGTAAGTCGTCCCCAGTCACACTCCACCCCAGCACACCCTGGACCCCAGGCTTCTAGTTGATAGGTGACTCAGTCTTTTGGCCTTTCCGAGCAGAGCAGAGCAGAGCTGTGTGTAAGCACTTGTCCTCCACAGGTGGTGGGAGGGTTATGAGGAGCTGGTGGGGGCAGTCTCTGCAAGCTTTATAATTGGGGATTTGATGGCCTCACCAGGCCACACAGTTAACTCCATCACCTGTTAACTATTGAATACCCAGTCAAAGTTAAGTACCTTGTCAAAACCCCAGTACTTTTAGGATCTTACTACATGGCACAAGAGAAGAAAAAATCATTTTCTTTCCTGTTCTTTCCTTTCTATCCTAGAATCTCAGGGGGTATATTAGGGGAGAGTCTGTCCAATTCGCTAACCAAACACTGCCTTCTTATGGCAGGAAAACTTAAGCCTTGTCTGCCATAACATGCACTAGTAGTTGTTTGTATGAACATCTTGTCTCAAGTCTTTTTAATTAGGGTCAGCTATTTATTGATTTTTAAACTGACTATAAATTTTCAAACATGGTGACACCTGAGAAATGTACCTGAAATCATAAGAACCTTAAAAGTGCTGTCTAGAGAAACAGTTATTTTCCGTGATGTGTTCATGTTTGATAGAACACCAGTACTCCTATTATATCCCATAATGTGGGAGCTTAATTTTAGAAAGTAAACTTTTTGTTGACTTTTGACAAAGTCCATATCATGATCATACCACCATATTGGAACTGTCTTCAACATGGGTGATAAGAGCCCACCTCATGGCTCTCATACACAGAAAAGCCAAAGTCCAGGGGCATCTACTTCAGTCAGTGCTGTTTTAGGAAGGTTTTAAAGGTGCTATCAGAATTCCGGCTTCCCACCACAGCATGCCCCTTCTGACTGTCTGGGTTCTTCTCATGCCAGGGAGCAGCCAGTGCCTCCAACCCTACCTCTGTTAACTCAGCAGGCATAGGAGGACTTGTTTAGAAGTCTTGGTGTTTACACTTGGGTCACACCCATCACATACCTGTCACTGCAGCTGGGAGTGAGACATGTTGATTGGGTTGGATTAAACCATAGCCTCACCTTCACAAAAATCCACTTGAAATAAGGATGGGCATACCCCCAAAAGATATCAGAGACATTCTCACCCAAAGAATGCATGTCAAACCAGACATTTATTAATCCAGTATTCGTGTGTATCTTTTCCATTTTAACAACAGCTGTATAAGTTGAACAAGACTAAACTACAGCCTAGGAAATAGGGAAGAATGAGTGTGATTTTAGAAGACAGTTTTATGAGGATTTGATCTATCAGATTAAGAGTCCTCTTTAAAATAGTAACCTTGGGAAGCACATGTTCTACCTCAGTGCTTGTCTTAGTCACTGTTCTGTTGCCATGAAGAGAAACCATGAAGAAGAGCGTGTTTAATTAAGGGCACATTTTCAAAGGGTGAGTCCATGACTGTCATGGCAGGGATCATGGAAGCTGGCACTGGAGCTGAGAGCTTACGTTCCTATCCCACAAGTTGGAGACATAGGCCTGGCATGACCACAAAACCTACCTCCAGTGACACACTTCCTTCAACAAGGTCACACCTCCTAATCCTTCTCAAACAATTCCACCAGCTGGGACCATGTACATGCATACACACACACACACACACACACACACACACACACACACACACACACAAAAGCACATGGATAATTTTTTTTTTTTTGCCTAAGGAGTTCTTGCATATTCTTTTAAGTACACTCAATATTGGCACAATCTGATATACATTTAAATTTTTGGAGAGACCAAACTTCCTTCATAGACAAATCAAGAGGGTAAAATAAGTGAGCATATAGAATAATGTGTTTGAAAGATAATGATTGTGAAGTATTAGTTTTTTTAAGATGATATGTAAGCAATTTAAAGTTTGAATTTGAATCTTAAAAGAATTATTTCACTTCCCTATCTCCATTGGGTTAAATTGACAACATCTAAAAATGAAAAATTTAAAAGATACCAGTGTGAATTTATTCTTATTAATGATGAGATTAATAATTTCATTTAAACATACTTTTTGTTTGCCTTTAATTTTCTTTTTTACTTTTAATGTATATGTGTGTCTATATATATATGTGCCTTGTGAGTGTGGCTGCCTGAGGAGGCCAGAAGAAGGTGTCAGCTTGGAGCCGGAGTTACAGGCAGTATGTGTAATCTCATGTAGGTGCTGGGAATCTAACTGCTCTGATGCCTTAACTGCTGAGCTGTTTCTTCAGCTGATCCTAAAATGTTTTAAGTTAGTAATCATTCTTCTGTGCTTGTAGAGTTAGCTGCTAGGCTGCAAGGTTCTCAGCAGTCATACTTCTACTCCTTGGCTTCTTGGCAATAAATATCCTTAGTAATATAAAGTGTTAAGAAAGCTGACCAAACGTTGCACTGGGTGGGTCAGTGGGTGAAAGTGCTTCTGTATAGAGTGATGGATGGCCCATTTGTAACCCAGCATACTAGAGGAAATACGGGATACCTGGAACAAGCTGTCTAGGTACACTAACCAAAGTGTGCCCTAAGGTCCAGAGAAATCTTGCTTCAGTGTATTAAGTATAGAGCAATAAGAAAAGATGCACAAGATCAACCTCATGCCTTTTTACAAAGGTTCACTAGTGTATGTGTGTACACACACACAAACACATGAGCACACACACATACAGATTTGATATGTGCATGCACATGTGACCATTTCCTCTAAAAGGTAAAAGGAATGTGTTTGTGTAGGGTAATTAGTGTATTATTAACTATATATGATACTTACCTTTTTTGATTTGTTTGTAATAAGCATACAATAAATTCATACACTTAATGAATGCATGACAAGTTTTCATGTGTATTTTTACCATGTAAACTATTTCTACATTTGGAATAAGAAACATTTCATTGTCCTGTCACCTTAGTCTCCTCTAGTCTCTGATGGTTGCCCCTGTTTTTGTTTCTTAAGAAATTTATTTGTTTGCATGTTTGAAACAGGGTTTCACTATGTGATGAAAGTTGGTCAAGAGCTCTGTATATGTCCAGGCTACCTTCAAATTTACTACCTTCTTCATTCTCCTGGTGCTGGGATTATGGACATGTGTCATGCTAATCAGCTTTCAATTATTTATTACATGGTTTTTGAGATGGGTCTGTCTTTGCAACACTGACTGTCCTGAAACTTGCTGTGTAGACCAGGCTAGCCTCAAACCCACAGAGATCCACATACCTCTGCCTCCGAAGTGCTATTGGTTGATTTTTCTGTATTTAGTTAATTTTTGACCTTCAGGCAAGTCAGAAATATAATTCATAAAAACTTCTTGTAGGTGGGTGAGAATGGTCAGTAGTGACAGTGTTTGTCATCCAAATGTGATGGCTTAAGTTCAGTCCTTGGAACTTGTTGGCAAAAAAAGAATCAACTCCAGAAAGTTGTTCTTAAACCTCCACATGGGCACCATGGCCTCTGCCCTCCTCCCAATATTCAGAAATAAATAAAACAATTTTAAGAAATAAAAAATTAAGTTTCTTTTGCCCAATTTCTTCTCCTTAATGTTAGCTTTTTATATGGCCATTGTACTTTTGCCAAAACCAGAAATGTATATTGACATACGCTGTCAACCAGAGGCATTATGCAGAGTTCATCGTTTTTTCTAGGACAGTCTGCTTTCTGTCCCTGTACCCTGTCTAATGTTGATTTGCACTGCATGCCCTTAATGCTCCTCAGTCCTTCCCTGTGACTCTCTGGAAAGGAGTACGGAATCATGTGTAGATTGTCCCTCAGTTTGAGTTTGCCATTTGGTCCTTTGAAATAAGATTACCGAATGATGCTCACTCTTGTTAAAGGGTGCCTGTCATCTGTACTGTAAGTCTTACTACTGTTGATAGAAACTTTAAATCCCTTGATTCATGATGTCTGCTAGGGTTTTTCCACCATGGATCCACTTGTAGAAGAATGTTTGATTATTTTTTTTCCCCTCACTAGACTTACATTACAAACATTACTGTTTCCCATATTGTTGCCCATAAATTTTAGCATGCAAAGGGCTATCTTTCTTCTCATACCTAATTATTCAGTTATTCAGTTTCTATCCATGTGAATTCATAGGTATTAGTTTTACAATATAGATTTTCCCATATCCTTATAATTTTAGTTGCTTGCTCAAATTGGCCCATTTTTTTGCTTCCTCCATATGCTAGTCTAGGAAAATCTGCTTCCCTGCTTCAACCTTAGAATCATTCATTTTACATATCTAAAGAGCTCTGGTTGCTTTGAACTAAGTTAGTATTTAAAAGCAATGATCTGGCCACAGGTTTTTCTCATTACTACTAAGGTATCATTACTTCTAGGATGTCTCAGCTGGTAAATCAGGAAACTGGTGGTGGGGTGTGTATGTGTGTCTCTCTGTGTGTGTGTGTCTATGTGTGTGTGTGTCTGTGTGTTCATGTTCTGAAATGCATAAGTGTATCCCACTTAGTCTGTATAATGTTATTTGTGTGTATGTTTTCAGGACAGATTATGATAAGCACTTGGTTTGCTCTTGCCCGGAGAAGAGTTTCTCACACTCAACATTCCATAGTTGCCTGTAATTGTGTATGTATAAGGTTGAAGACTCTTGATCTCCCCACCCCCATCCACATTAGCATGTGTGTTGTTGTCTTCATTCAGCTCATATTAAGTAGTCAAGCTGATGAGGCTCTGTAGGTGTCACCTCTAACATCCCCAAGAAACAATCCACAGCAGACTCATGGATCCTCCTTGGCTCTTAAGTCTTTCTGCCCCTCCTCTGCAATGTTCCCTGAGTACAGGAGTGTTGTGTATGCATTGGGACTGGGCTCCACAACTCTGTGGTTTTCTGTAGTGGTCTCCATCTGTGGCAAGACGTTTCCTTAATGAGAGACGTGGACTAATAATATACTAGGTGACACCTTGGGGAAACTGAATTTTTCTTACAATGTTATCAGTTCTTTTTTTTCTGTATTTTCATATCTTAGCCAATAATTTCCTCCTTGAATTGTCTGTTTTTATAAAATGTTAACATGAGATCTGGAGAGATGGCTCAGTCAGTAAAGTGCTTGCTGTACAAGCATGTGGACCCCAGTTTGATTCCCCAGAATCCACATAAGTGCTGGGCATAGTAGCATGTGCTAGTTGGTATCAGCTCTGGGGAGACAAACAAGCAGATCTCTAAAGACTTTCTGCCTAGCTAGCTTACCCTAATCAGGCAAGCCCAAGGTCCCAGTGACAGACTCTTGTGTTTGAATCCTGTGAGACAACCCCTGCTTATGCTATAACTTGGAAATCGCAGAAATGTTTGTTAACAAGGACTTACAGCCTGAGGTTGATCTCTGACCTCTGTGCACACACATGTACATATGCACATGCATGTGCGCTTGCGCGTGCAAAAACACACACACACACACAAAGATACACATACATATACACACGTATACAAAGTTAGATATTCCCCAGGCTTTGCTCTGTGACTGAACTGAATAACAGCACAATGTCAGTCACCAGCAGACTTCACTGGTACTGACAGCATCTGTTGTTGCATAGTGACTTGGAATAAAAATACCAGCAGGGAATCACTCACAGCTCAACACTAGGGTTACTGAAGCACTTGAGTGTTTGAATCCTGTGAGACAACCCTTGCTTATGCTATAACTTGGAAATCACAGAAATGTTTGTTAACAATATTTCTCGCCGGGCGGTGGTGGTGCACGTCTTTAATCCCAGCACTCGGGAGGCAGAGGCAGGCGGATCTCTGTGAGTTCGAGGCCGGGCTGGACCGACAGCCTCCAAAACAATACAGAGAAACCCTGTCTCGTAAAAACCCAAAAAACAAAACAAAACAAAACAAAAACAAAAAACCAATATTTCTCTCATTTCAAAATATTTGGCAGGTTAAGATGGGCATAATGGCTCAGACCTGTAACTGTAGCACTTGTAAAATCTGAGGCAGAATGCTGTGTAGGCTACATAGCAAGACCCTGTCCTCTGAAAAGAAAGTTTAGAGATTAAGCAGTAAACTTTTAAAATGCTATGAAAACATTTTCTTGCAATCCCTGGCTGCCTGTCTTTCCCAGTACCCAAGTTTATTTCTTTTAGGGGTGGGCTCTGGGGCTAGCTAGTAACAGTGTTTCTCTGGGCTATGTCTCTAGAAACCCAGTGCCAAGTTTAGCTTGTGAGCCAAGAATTTAGGTTTAGATTAGCCTAAATGAAAGACTCTTTGTGCTGAATTTTTGTCTGTTTGCTCCTTAGATTGATATAGAAATCAATGGTAACGCGGTGGATCTTCATATGAAATTGGGTGATAATGGAGAAGCCTTCTTTGTAGAGGAGACTGAAGAAGAATATGTAAGTTCTCAAAGGTCACGGCCCCTTTGCACATTGTATCAGGCTTTAAGAACATGTCTCAAAATAACTTATCAGCTATTCCCATGACTGTGTGAATGATTATTATTGATTAAACAAGCTTTCATTACACGTTGAACTAAACTTCCAAAAAAGATCTCACACCAGCTTTCGGGGTTTGGAGAATAACTAATATCAAAGGCTTTCCTGCTTTCTGTCCATTAAAGCTTATGCTTGAGTTGAGTTCATTCATTTCTGCCTTGAGGCATATTTCTGTGACTCTGTGTGTGTGTGTACATATGTGACCTTTAAATTTGGAAGACATGTTTACAGGGCCAGAGAGCTCAGCAAGTAAAGCCACATTTCATGTAGGCCTGGCCTACCTGAGTTTGGTATATAAAGTGACATAAGGATGGAGAGAACATCTCTGATGCCACACTGATACGTGCAGCACCCAATACCCCCCACATACATTGACACCCACACACTAACAATAAAGTTTTTAAAAGAAACAATTCTTTTGTTTGGTTACAAATATTATACCCATGACCTTAAGAGCTACTGAATTATGATTTCAAGAGAGTTAAATTAGTTGGCCCGTGTCTTCTTGTATATCAGTATACATGTGGCTTCTTCTACAGGACAGCACCATTGGTATGAGTCCCATGTCCTTGTGCACTCCCAGGTATACCTGAGTTGGAACAAAAACAAACTCTTTTTTTTTTTTTTGGTTTTACAAAGACAGGGTTTCTCTGTATTGTTTTGGAGGCTGTTGGTCCACCCTGGCCTCGAACTCACAGAGATCTGCCTGCCTCTGCCTCCCGAGTGCTGGGATTAAAGGCGTGCGCCACTACTGCCTGGCCAAACTCTTCTTGATGTAGTCATTATAGCTCTTTTTAAAAACTTTGTAGAGGCATCACTGTATCTTTTTTCATAAAAAATTAAATCTTACAGCAAAAATAAGTTTCAAGTTATTAGGATACAAAGGTTTTGGGGTTTGCAAACAAACTACTAATTTGATATTGTGAATTTACAAATTTAAAAAATGACAACAAAAATAACCAATAGCAAAACAAGGTTAGTTTGATTGTTTTTTTGTTTGTGTTTTTATTTGAAGCTTGGGAAAGAGCAACAGTGTAGGCTTTGTTCTGTGGAGCAGCACTGATATAGTGCAGCTTATAAAGGGACCTCATCCAGTTGTTACCGGTGTTTTATCATTTCATTTGCATTTATGAGACCCAAACAGAATTTCATCACGTCAGAAATAAAGGCAAAGAGGCAGAATAAAGCATAATAAATATTATTAGCTGGCACAAGCATAAAATATTTTTTATGTGTTTCTGAAAATCAAGAATAAACCCTATCACTGATTATCATTATGTAAACGGTGATCTGGGTTCTTGACAGTCCTTTGCCTGCTTATAGGTACTGCCAACAATTCTATTTAAAGCCTGCTTTAGCAAGGTCATCTTGAAGAACATCAACTTTGCAACACTTTTTCTTTTTCATATATGACTAAATTGGCCAGATTTTTCTGAAGTATTTTAAGTTCTAAGACAGCCAGAGCTACATACTAAGGCCCTCTTTCAAATAAACAAAAATAACAATAATAAGAAAATGTCCTAATTCAACAAATATTAGAATTACTATTCTATGACACAGACTATGAATAAAATAATAAAACAAATACCTGCTTTAAAGGGGATTAAAAGTTAATACAACCCATTGGGTACTATTTAGTTTTATTTATCTGATGTTTTTGGCCATCATCAGCATTCCTTTTCAGTCAGCAATCCTAAAACAACCCCGCTTTAACAGCCAATGGCATGGATTTGCCTGGGCTATAAAACCATTGTCTTATTGGTACATGTCTTAATTGTGTTTCTATTGCTGTGATCAAGAGCATGAATTTTTCACCCTATAGCTTACTTCATTAAGGAAAGTTGGAGCAGGAACCTGGAGGCAGAAACTAAAGCAGAGGCCATGGAGAATCTCTGGTTACTAGTGTGTCCCTCCTGGCTTGCTTTCCTATAGCACCCTAGCCCACAACAGAGCCAGGCCCTCCCACATGAATCATTCACAGTGCCACACAGATGTGCCTACAGAGCAATCTGATGGAGGCGATTCCTCGGCTGAAATTTCCTCTTCCCAGATTTATCAGATTTGTGCCAAGTTGACAAAAACCAACCAGCAGAGTAAACACTCAGGTGTTTTCTGCCTCACCTCAAATACTTCTGTAATATAACAAGAAGACACTACCGAACACCAAAACAGCTTTGAAGAGAAGTACAAGGCAGCTTGATATATAACTAAGCCAGTAAATGAAGTCTCTAGAAATGAGGGCACATCAGCCTCACTGGGGTGACTTAGAGGCATTCAGATAATGTGATGACAGTTGTGTGTTAGTGATGAGCCTGGCAAAGAAAGCTTCCAGCTTCGGGATGTTTATCAAATCCAAGTTTAAAATGTCAGTGGGTATGAATTATGGAAACTCACTTGTTTTCTGAACTGTTGTGTAAAAATATGACCATTCTAAATTATAAAGTTAATTTATGCCTGTCTTGTCTACCTCTCCTTTCTCCTGATTGAAACAAATGATTGAGAAGTTCACTAGATTTTTAATTTATTCAGGATTAAGTTGAATAGTTTAATTATTCTAAATAGTGGGCCACCTTTTCTTCCTTTGAATTCCTGAAAGGATATTTGGAATGAAATTTACTGATTTCATTGATTGTAGGCTGCTGCCTCTGTCATAATCACTTTTCCTCACCCTCCATTCACTGGGCCACTGGCTCCTGGCTTCACTTACCTCCCTTGCTGCCCTTGTCAAATGTGGCCTTGGCCTTGTTCTCTGCTTCACCATGCTCTACCATTGTGGCAGTCCTTGTCATACTCAGCACGCTGCTGCCACTTTGGTAGCTCTTTGTACAGAATTTAATAGGCTCTGATTCTGTTGTTGCTGCTGCTGTTGTTTGAGGCAGGGTTTCTCTGTATAGCCCTGGCTGTCCTGGAACTCAGCTCTGTAGACTAGGCTGGCCTCCCAACTCACAGAGATCCTCCTACCTCTGCCTCCTAAGTGCTGGGATTAAAGGTGTACACCACCACCACCTGGCTAGTTGCAGCTTTTGCGTATTCTGCTGAGCTGACAAAGCAGTTCCTGCAAATATACTCAGTTACATACTGAAACGAACTAACACTTATTTGAGTCTAGCAAGGTGACTCCTTTCTTAGGTTTAGGAACTGTGCCTTCCAATCCCTGTGAAAAGTTGTATACTTGAGAAATTAATTATTGTTTTGATAACTACCCAGTTTTTTGTGAGTAACTTCTGTTGTTCTTTAAGGAAAAACTACCTGCTTATCTTGCCACCTCACCAATTCCTACTGAAGACCAGTTCTTTAAAGATATTGACAGCCCTTTGGTGAAATCAAGTGGAGATGAAAGGCCATCTCAAAGCTCAGATATTTCTCACACCCTGGAAGCAGAGACAGTTTTCCCTCCAAGTTCTGTGAAGAAGAAGAAACGAAGGAGAAAGAAGTGCAAACAGGACAGTAGAAAGGAGGAGCAGGCAGCTTCCCCTGCTGCAGAAGACATATGTGATGTGGGTGTGAGCTCTGATGATGATATGGGAGCCCAGGCAGCAAGGTAAGGTTCCATCTGGCAGGGGCTCCTGCAGGTGTCTTGCCATGCCCTTGTGACCTCAGGGGAGCTGGTAGCTGCCCTTCCTCCTGAAGGTGTGTGATACGAGCCTGATCCCTGCACCCAACTGTTTATTGTGGGACCACTAAGTGACGAAGCACCACCCTGCCCCTTACTGTCAGATCTTTGGGTGCTACGAAATGCTCCTCGGAGCGGTCTGGAAGTGTGCCTCTTTCCATTGAGTGAGTTTCAGAAAACAAATCATCAGCTCTTACTGAGTGATTTGCTTGGGGTGAGCAGATTCAAGTGGGAACGTTGTCATCCAGTTGTGTAGCTTCCCAACCCTAGGATCTTTCCCCCTTCCACTTCCTCTCCACCTTCCCTGCCCTGTCTCTCCCTCTTCCTTCTCTTCCCTTCCCCTCCTTCCCCCTCCCCTCCACTCGCACTCCTCTCCCCTTCCTTCATTGCCTGTTCCTCCCCCTCTTCTTTCTTCCCTCCCCCTTCCTCCCCTCCCCGTTCCCTCACTTTCCTTCCCTTCCTATCCCATTCTTTTTCTTATCCCCCTTCCTTTTCTCCTTCCCCTTCCTTCCACGGGGTCTCCCTGTAGAGCACAGGTTGGTCACAAACTCATAATCCTCCTGCTTCTAATTCCTGACCACTGGAATTGGTAGATAGCAATACACCCAGCACCCTTACTCAGGGTGTTGTATTTGGTATCAGATCTTTTCCTGAGAAACTGAGAGTTTTGCTTCATTTTAGTTTATGGTGTGGAATTTTGATCCTTTTAGCCAATGACTTTTGGTGCAGCAAGCCCTAGGGCATGGTCTTGTCTGCTTCATGACAACTGATAAGCTGAGGGGAAGGGTCTCTCACTCTTGCTGGGTGGTCAGAACAGAGCAGGCGGCTTGCTCTTCACCCCTGGACAGAACACCTGGACGAAGGCGGCTGAAACAGCAGCGGCATCTAGCCTGTCCTGTATGTACCAGTTATCCTATTTTATACCTAAATAAATTCTTGAGAACCTTTTCCATACAAGTTTATGAGCAAAATACCCTAGTAAGTTAAAGAAGGAATTTCAGTTTGTTACGTGGAAGTTTTGATCACATATATACCAGTTAGTAGAAATACTCAAAACCTGTACCATTTTTCATGGCATAACTGTCCAAAATTTCAAGACAGAATGTACTTTTTTTTTCTCACTTAGATAGCCTTTTCTCTTCCCTGTTTGAGTGAGGGGCTACCCAAACACTAGAAGGACATTGTGGGATGGTGGTTGGTTCTCTCACTGACAGCTCTCATGGCTGCTGCCCACAGGCAGCCTGAGTGCTGTCCTTTATTTGCATGGGAGAAGGACTCATGAGGTCAGTGCTGATCCAGGTGTGTACTTGAATTCATCTACTGGAAGGAGATGATGGATGCACTTGTGTCTGGAGAAGTGTGGTGGTAAAATACCAGTCAGTCAAAGAAGGAAGGGTAGCTTTTCTAGTTACACTGCAGAATAAACTTTTACCTTGATGTGTTTTATTTATTAAGACTGTTTTAAACCGTCAAACCATGAAAAACCTGCTTTTGATAAATGATTAGTATACTATATTTATACCATTTTGTGAATAACATAATTCCTTTGTAGTAAACTTTTAACTCATCTCTTAAGATGAGATCTGGATTATAAATCCTGGAATAAAATTATACATGTAGTAATACTTTTTAACATTCAAACAGATTTTTCCTACCCTTCTTACATCATTCACTGTCATGGGTATTAATCACCTTTCATACTATTGGATAGAGTTCAGAATTCCTGTTAGAAATAAGTGTAGTTAAGAGTTTCTGTCCTGCCTGGTCCCGCAGTTGTTTAGGCCCAAATAAAACCCCAGAGGCTTCTATTAATTAGAAACTGTTTGACCTCTTGGGCTTCTTACTGGCTAACTCTGTTAATTATTAACTGAATTCTCTTAATCTAAGTATTTTCATGTGGTCTTATCTTACTGGAGAAGGGTCCAGACCTGTTACTCCTTCCTTAGCTACATGGCATATCCTCTCGCTTCTCTCCCTCTTCTCTACCCAGAATCTCCTCATCTGGTAGCCTCGCCTATACTTCCTGCCTGACCAATCAGTGTTTTGTCCATCAAACAATAAGAGAAACATATATACAGAACAACATCTCCCATCAAATAAGCATAATTAAAAGGCTGGAAAGATGGCTCAGTGGTTGAGAGCGTTTTCTGCCTCTTTTTTTTCCAGGGGACTGACTGGGGTTTGGTTCCCACCCACATGGTGGTACCCAACCATCCCTAATTCCAGTTCCAGGAGATCCTGTGCCTTATACTGACCTCTATAGGTATCAGTCACACACATGGTACAGCGACATGTATGTAAGCAAAACACTCATGCACATTTTAAACATAAACAATGAAAGATGGAAATAGTGAAAAATAGTTCAGGCTCTTTTTTTTTGTCTTTTGTTGACATAATTAGCAAAATTTAGATTCTACCTGGCATTGGTGACACACGCCTTTAATCCCAGCACTTGGGAGGCAGAAGCAGGCAGATCTCTGAGTTCGAAGCCAGCCTGGTCTACAGAGCGAGTTCCAGGACAGCCTCCAAAACAATACAGAGAAACACTGTCTCGAAAAACCAAAAAAAAAAAATTTAGATTCCTGGACAACGTGCAGCTTTATCTCAGGAAATGACATTTGTAGGACATACACAGAACCTCTCCTAAAACACAACACAGGAGCTACTAACACACATGCAGCCTCTGCTAGCCACACAAGGGCTGATAACATGCAAGAGCCACTAACACAAGAGCTGCTAATACACATGCAGCCTCAGCTAGAAACATAGGAACTGCTAACACACACAAAACCTCTGCTAGATGCACGGGAGCTGCTAACACACGGGAGATACTAACACACGGAGATACTAACACAAGAGAGACTAACACACGGGAGATACTAACACACAAGAGATACTAACACACGGGAGATACTAACACAAGAGAGACTAACACACGGGAGATACTAACACACAAGAGATACTAACACACGGGAGATACTAACACAAGAGATACTAACACACGGGAGATACTACCAACACACGGGAGATACCAACACACGGGAGATACTAACACACGGGAGATACTAACACACGGGAGATCCTACCAACACACGAGAGATACTAACACACGGGAGATCCTACCAACACACGGGAGATACTAACACACGAGAGAGACTAACACACGGGAGATCCTACCAACACACGAGAGAGACTAACACAAGAGATACTAACACACGAGAGACTAACACGTGAGAGGCAAAGAAAGTGTATAAATACAGGAAATGATATTTTGAGGACATACACAAAGCCTCTGCTAAACACACAAGAGTCACTAACACACAAGAGCTAAAGAAGTTGTGTAAATAGACAGTGTCAGTCAGTTCATGCCTTCCATTTCCAGGTTACATGAACCAGATATATTGGGGTACTTTTTTGGGTATAGCTGATATGGTTGCCAGCACCTACTTGCTTGGTAAGAAGGCTTCACAGCACATGTGACCTTGGGCCTCTGTTGTCATTCAGGGATTAGGGTCTGCCTTTTCTTTGGGTTACTAGTAAGCTGTGAATGCCACATTTTGTAAAAATTTCCTTAGAACAAGATCTGTTTAATTATACATCTAATAGAAATTAGACAGTAAGAAATTAGAGGACTCTCAGAGTTCAAGCTGTATTGTGAACTCAGTGGCATCTGGGCTTGTGAGAGTTGTGGCTGTGGAACCAGAACCCGGCCAATCAGGATCTTCTTTCTGAAGCTGTAAAAGAACTGAGCTCTGGCCACATGTTGCTGGTCCATGGGGATATGTTCTGAGAAATGGGTCAGTAGAGGGGGTGACACCGTCTAAATGGTATAGAACTGCCCCTCATCATGGACCTTTAAAAAAAGATGTGAATGTGATTAGTGAGAGTGAACACAGCAGAAGCTCAGGTATACCACAGCCATTGACCACGCTATCAGTGTCTTCTACATTAATTGTTGGTGAAGCTTTACTTCAGTTAGGGATGAATCTTCTGGTGGCCAGGGAACTTGGACTCTTGTCCCTGCACAGAGCCTCAGTCACATGTCCCTGCAGCCCGATGTGGCTGGACACAATGACCTGGCTGATGTGAAACCTGGGCCACTATTTCTCAGGCTTCCCATAGGTACCCCACATACTTGTTTGTAGTCTACACTGGGGTGAGCATGATGCCAGAGACATGAATATCTTCCAGAGTACTATCTCCAGAGTTCCTTTGGGACAACCCATTCAGCAAGCAGGCTGAGTATAGAGGCAACTGTTTCACCGTGGTCTCCTTATGCAGTTAAGAGGTGCAGATGAGGAACACTGGTAGATGACATAGTTTTAAAAAACAACATTCTAGCCGGGCGGTGGTGGCACACGCCTTTAATCCCAGCACTCGGGAGGCAGAGGCAGGCGGATTTCTGTGAGTTCGAGGCCGGGCTGGACCGATAGCCTCCTAAACAATGCAGAGAAACCCTGTCTCATAAAAACCAAAAAAAAAAAAAAAAGTTCTTTTTTTACAAGTATGAATGCATTAAAAAGTAATGACTAAGAGTATAGTAAATATATTAATCAATGATATAATTATCACCACTATGGAGTATTTCATAATATATATAATTATGCTGTCTTTTTACTTGACATTATATTTACTACAAGCCTTTGAGGGAAGAGGCTTTTCTAATTGGGTGACATTCTAGTACAAATTTTGAGTACATATATAAAACATAACCTTTTCAAGACACACTCCAAATACTTAGCATCATTTCCGTGCCACTTTTGGAAATATTGTAGTACTCAGCCAACAGTAGCAAAAATAACCAAGACCATGCTATCAGAAAAGAAAGAACATTTAGTCACTAAGCCAGTCTTCCTTAGGAAGTTGAATGTGGGAGCTGAGTTCAGGGAGTCAAAGACTTGTCCCCACCAGCAGCTGTGTCTGGGGGGCTACATTCATACCCCATCATTAGTGGCATGGATCCTAGAGTGTCCCTGCTTTGTTCTCCTTCATTCTCACACAGCAACGAAACCACTCTTTGCTTGTAGTCTGTCTTTCATGGGAAGTGTCTGTGTCCAGAGGCGAGTGCAGGTCATTGGCTGTACTGCCATCCACTGAGTGTGCTCTAAGGGTTTCTGATAACCATATATGATCTTTGGTCATGGGACCTAGAAGTGCCTTTTATTTCTTACTTCCAGTTAGTTTAAAATAATATCAAGTGCCTGTATTTGGGCTAAGTTTAATTTCCTGTTTGTTTCTCCCACTTTGAAAAGAATTGGAGTACAATCTACAAGCGTTTATATGCACAGATTTTTTTTTTGAGACTATGCTCTCTCTAGTCTGGAACTCACTATAAAGACTGCTGATCTCCAGCTACAGAACTGGGGTTAAAGGTGTATGTCACCGTGCCTGGCTTGATTTTTTTTTTCCCCCATTGCTTTTTAAGTTTTACTCATTTAGTTTATGTGAATGGGTATTTTGTCTGTATGTATGTCTCCTCACCACATGCATTCCTGGTGTCCATGGAGGTCAGAAGAGGGCATCAGTTCCCTGAAACTGCAATTAAATTTGGTCATGATCTATCCTTCATATGAGCAATGGGAATCAAACCTAGGTGCTGAGCCATCTTTCTGACCTCAATTTTCCCTCTCTTCGGAGAAAATTTACCTTGTTTGTTTATTAAATAATGATTATTTTCTGGGGTCTGCTTTTCTTATGTATGTTTTTCTCCTCTTGAATGAGATTGTGTGACAGGGTAGTCCTCTAGGGGAAAGAAGATTCCATTGCAGAAAACCTTCAATTAACAGGAAGATCTTAAAAGATACATACATACATTCATGTATCTTAAGTGATTTATATCTCTGAGAAGGCTATGTCAAAGAAGTAAAGAGTATGTTACAATAAGGAAAGTAACACTGAAGCAAAAGGCAGTTTTCTTTTTCTGCTCTTAGCCCAACAAATTAAGTATGATTCCAATGTACATTCAACACACTGTTAGAGCTTGAGTGTTCTATAAGAAGCTCTTAACCCTGCAGTAATGTTCTTGGTGCTTTTCGGAGGTTTTCAGCAATTCCCACATGCTACCCCATACAACCCTCATATTGACTGAGAAGTAGACAGGACGTGATAAATTCCCTAAAGATAAAAAGTAAAATCATAGCCTTTTTAATTTATACTAAACTTTTTATAATAAACTTCTGGATCCTTGATTACCTTCTATTTACAATGGAATTTAATCACCTTAAATTGGGAAGAACTGAATGAATGGCGTTCAGTAAGTAATACTGTGCTAAGGTTGCAGACAACCATATTGTTAACATCAACTTAGTAGGGAGGGAAATGATTGAGCCCAACATTGATGAGTACCAGGCAAGCACTCTACCTCGGAGCCACATCCCCAGCCTATGGGAAGTTTAATGACATTTCTTTTCTGTGTGTCTGTTATGTGACTAGTGGCTACAGTAGTATATGGCTTTGGTGACTACCTCCTCGTTCATGTTAGCCTTTTTCAAAAGATATTGCTAATCATGTGGCTTACTGTTGATTAGAAGACTTGTTGATACCTGTGTTTCTCCCCTTTCGTAGAGGATCTTCAAATGCTTCCTTAAAGGAAGAAGACTGTAAGGAGCCTCCGCTCTTCCACTCCGGAGATCACTACCCTTTATCGGATGGAGATTGGTCCCCATTAGAAACGTGAGCATCTTTGAATTTTCTGTTTTCCTAAGGGAAGGGGGGGTGTATATTAGTAGTTTTTCTTTTTTTTTTTCTCGATAGTAATGCCACTTTCCATATGTGTAATAGTAGAGTGACCATCGGGTAAAACTTAACGTGAATGTGAACTGTTTTCCACAACCATTTTGTTCCTAAATTTAATCTTATTCTGATGGTGTTTGCCAGTTGTAAATCTGAATAATCAACATCGAATCGGTCTCCCTACTGTTAAATTACAGTTCTTTGGTATCAATTAATAATATAGTGAAAGAATATGTGGTCATACTGTTCATTTTCTATGACTAAGCCTTCATGTTTTAGATTATTTTTTTATTTTTTATTTTTATTTTTTTTTGGTTTTTCGAGACAGGGTTTCTCTGTGGCTTTGGAGGCTGTCCTGGAACTAGCTCTTGTAGACCAGGCTGGCCTCGAACTCACAGAGATCCACCTGCCTCTGCCTCCCGACTGCTGGGATTAAAGGTGTGCGCCACCAACACCCGGCCTAGATTATTTTTTTAAATTTATGTATTTTATGTGTAAAGATGTTTTGTCTGCATATATGTCTATGCACCATATATGCATTCCTGGTGCCTACAGAAGGCAGAAGAGGCGGTTGGATCCCCTGGGACGTTAGAGTTACAGGTGGTTGTGAGCTCCATGGGATTCCTGAGGATTGAATCCAGGTGCTCCAGTTCTTTACCCCTGAGCCATTTCTCTAGCCCCCTATTAACTGATTGTAAATCCTACCTTCCTGTGTCTTCTGTCATACAGAATTGACTATCATTGCTTTCCTGTGAGATGCAAACAGATAATACATACTATAAAGTGTCTACAGGAGACCTGGAAGAAAAGTCCTTAGTAATCACTAACTGGCATTTTTGTATCACTAAAGGACTCAATGGAGTGTGTGTACTTGTTTTTGTCATTGCAGCACTTATTCCCAGGCAATGTGTCCTAAGAGTGACTCAGAGCTGGAGGTGAAGCCAGCTGAGAGCCTGCTCAGATCTGAGTCTCACATGGAGTGGACATGGGGCGGGTTCCCAGAGTCTACCAAGGTATTGGAGCTTACTGGAAAGACTGGGGTGTGTCTGATAGAGTCTCTCCCTCTGTTAAATGAAGGAAGCAATCTCTTATTGAGCTCACAGAGTATAATGATGGCATTGTCCTCTTGTGGCTGAAAAAGTAAATAAAAACATTGTTTTATAACATTTCCACTGTACATTTATTTACAACTGAATCCAATCTGTTGTGTTTCTACCTACCAAATAATGTTAATTACAAATAATTAATAAAGTTATACCTAAAAGAAACTAGAGTTTCCATACTGAAATTTTAAATAAAATCACTAAAGTTAGGGTGGATATAGCTCTCAGTTGGTGTTCTGGACATTGGGTCCCATCCCCAGCATGGGCAGGAGGATGTTGACAAAACTTCCAGCTGCTCACGGTGAAAGAATAATAATGTACTTACTGCAAGACCTGTTTCTTGAAAGAACACTATTTAGATCCTCTGAAGCCAGCTTTGTAGAAACAGAAACTCACTGTGATTGAGAGCTTTAAGTTGGCCATAAGCAGTGTTGGAGCATGAGTGAGGTTTTCATGTGTGCGATAGCTGTTTCCCTTAAGATGAACATTTTGTCCTTAGGTTCTGAAAATGATCTATACCGTTCTCCAGTGCTTGGCTTCTTCATGGTAACAGTTCTGAATGTAACATATAAACATCATGACATTGAACAAATTACAGTTATTTTACCAGTTGTAGCCTGTTTCACACAAAATACAGCTAATGAATGTGTTACCATATAAGTAAAATAAACACAGTAGATTAAGAAGTAGAACATAAATTCATTTGAAGTAAATTTCTAAACAACTCATCTTTTCAGGTCAGCAAGAGAGAAAGACACGACTATCATCCACGGACAGCTACAATTACACCATCAGAAAGCACTCATTTCAGGGTAATTCCCAGTGAGGACAGCCTTGTAAGGGAAGTGGAGAAGGGCACTGCTGCTGAGGATGCTGTCTGCACCATCGTGAAGCCCAAACCCAGAGCCCTGTGCAGGCAGCGGAGTGAGGCCGCTTCTGCTCAGCTCCCCGGGCTGCCTCTTGAGGCTGCTCAGATTTCATCTACGTTAGATGCAGACCACCTTCCCAGCCCATCCTCAGCAGAGGCTCTCTCAGAACCCAAACCAGCTGCTAAAGTAGACTCACCAACAAAGAAGAAAGGTAACTGTGTTTGGCATCACACACCATCAGTATAGATGGGGTATTACTTCAGTGTCTCATACCGTGTGATAGCTTCCTTGTACTTACAGTCTCCACTCAGAACCTGGCCCAAACTTCATTGTGATGACCTAAGTTTTGTGGCTTCTTACTCTTTAAATTCTATCAGACAAGACATTAGTGGCCTTACTATTGGTTTCTGAGTCGGTACTCAATAGGCCTTTAAGAAGTATTTACTAAGAAAGTAAATAAATTGAGATCCAATGTGACAGCCGTTGTCAATGTGAAGAAGTCATACGTATATTCCCCAGGTATCTGTACTGTGCTTTTAACCTAAGGTCCTACCAAAATTCACATGTTGTCTTTGATTATTAACTAAGTATGCTAATGAATGGAATCTTAAATGGCCTTTTGCTTGAGTAGAAGTGAAAGTGGAATGGAGAAAAAATTTTCCAGACACCTGCTTAACTGAAGCAAAACTAATCTTTTGTAGGTTTTGTATGTTAAAAACAAATGTCTGCTGGGAGTTGGAGAGGTAGTTCAATGGTTAAGAACATTGGCTGCTCTTCCAAAGGGCCTGGGTCTGATTCCCAGAGTCTCCATGGCAGTTTACAGCTGTCTGTGACCCCAGTTCCTGGGGACCCACTGCCCTCTTCTGGCCTCTCTGGGCTACAAGCACACAGCCAAAAATCAAAATCAAAATATTTTTAAGTGTCCACTAATTATTAGTGCTTTCTTTCAATAATTTCTCTCCTAAATTGGTGTGGAGAAGGAAGTGGCTAGCCCTGGTCACAACTACTTACTCTATATCAATTGGTCTCAGGTCACTCTTGTTGCTAAAAGATATAAAATTACTCAGTGAGAGCCAGAAACCAGACACTGAATGCTGATGCTGACTTAGAGCCTGTATCTAAGAAAGTAAAACCTTACCTAAAAGAACCTGTCACATTTAGCTGAGTGCCTGCTTCACGTTAAAAAAAAAAAAAAAAAGGAACGTGAAACATTCCATTATCACAAAGTGATACAGGCCCATATCATTCAGAAATAAGTTGTCAAAAACACAAGTGTGGTTGTCAAGAGTGTCTGTGGCTAAATCTGACATCTAGCTGATAGTGGCTATCACTGAAAGTCTGCATCCTGTGTTCTGTTATGAGAACTGCTAAGGGGCGCGACCAGTCCTTGTATGGGAGATACTTTGTTTTGATCTAAGACACTAGGAATTCACAGAGGTAGGAACTCAAAATGTTTCCTGTCATTTCTTAGCTTTATTGTCTCCACCCCCCCTCAAGCCCCATTATGAAAGTTTTATACATACCGTGGTACATCACTTAATAATAGGGCTATTGTTTGAGAAGTATGTCATCCAGCAACTTAGTATTGTGTGAACATCATATTGTTTTTACAGGGTGTAAATCAATCAACCTGGCCTCTTGGTGCAATCAAGAGATGCAGAAAACATGAAATGATGCTGTTGCCAGTATAGAGTGACACTTTTAGATTTCAGTAGACAGATGGGAGTGTACCCTAAAATAATGATAAATAAATAAGTCACTTTTTATCATTATCAAGTATTATATCTTGTACACAATTGGATGTGTTATACTAATAGAAGACTAGCAGTGCCATCATTACAAATATGTTACCCTAAGATGACTCTGGGTGACAGAATTTTCAGGTGCTTTATGGTATCTTAGGACCACCATTGTATGTGCATCCACTAAAGTATCCTTATGGGGTACAGTGCATAGCTGTGTTTCTTTGCCATCTCTTGACTCATAAACAGCAGGTTCTAGATTTTGTGGACATTTCACCCTTAGAGACCCTGGGACTTGCACCTAAGTGTATTCTCTGTAGAACTGGAATACTATTGACAGACACCCTGAGAAAGAAAGAATGGTATAAGTGAGGACAAGGGATTGACCCTTGGGCCTTGCTTTAGACTGATAGTGGCCCATCCTGCTTAGAAAACTTCATGCTATTGCTGAGTTTTAAAACAGAACAGAGAAAAAAATAGAGAACAGATTCTTACCTCTGGTGTGTTTTTCTTTAAAAAACAGGTGTTCACAAAAGAAGTCAGCACCAGGGGCCTGATGACATTTACCTTGATGACTTAAAGGCTCTTGAGCCTGAAGTGGCAGCTCTCTATTTCCCTAAAAGGTGTGTATGTTTGTGCAATGAGGTATGAACAGCTTGAGAAACTCCAGTTATTTCATCTGAGCAATAGGTCTTTTAGCTAAATCCAGCTTAATAAGCTTCAGGTTTGGGGAAGCTTATAGTTTGTGTCGTTTTGACTGCAGTGACTTGAAAGTAATGTTTATGAAACATTTGGTACAATAAGGAGAGAGAACCCACATAAGAGATGAGAGAGAGAGAGAGAGAGAGAGAGAGAGAGAGAGAGAGAGAGAGAGAGAGAGAGAGAGAGAGAGAGAAGACTCTGTGAATGTGTGTGGGTGTGTGAGTGTAAGAGAGAGAGAGAGTGTGTGTGTGTGTGTGTGTGTGTGTGTGAGAGATGGTGCTATGGTGCACTCTGGTGGAGGGCAGAGGACAGCTGAGTCAGTTCTTTCCATCACCAGGTCCCAGGATAAAATCAGGTAGTCAGTCTCCCACAGCCAGCACTCTACCAGCTTGTCCATCTTTCAGCCTTTGTTTAGTGTTCTTTATTGTCGTTGATAACAAACTGAATATTCTTGAGGACATTCTTTGGCACTTGCTTTGTGTGTTTTAAAATAGCGCATTTTAATTTACAAATAGTTTGCAAAGAATTTCTTCACTCCTTTGAAGAGTGTGAAGCCACTTCTGAACAAGGCTCCATTCCAGGGGACCCTATGTCCTCATATTGCCCACAGTCCCTACCATGTCACAACACCATTCTTCCCATCCTTCATTTTTTATTTTTTTATTTAAATTAAAATAAACTTGCTTTAACATGTCAATCCCAACTCCCTCTCTCTCCACCACCCTCACCAATCCCTCCCGCAATTCCCCACCCAATCCCCACTTGACTCTCCGGGGAGGGTGAGGCCCTCCATGGGGGATCTCCAACATCTATCATATCATCCGGAACAGGGCCTAGGCCCTCACTCATGTGTCCAGGCTAAGAGAGCATCCCTCCATGTGGGATGGGCTCCCAAAGTCCATTTGTATGCCAGGAATAAACACTGATCTACTTGAGGCCCCATAGATTGCCAAGGCTAAGTCCCATGCTTCCATCAGCCACTGGATGAAGGTTCTAGGATGGCATATAAGGTAGTTGCCAATCTCATTATCGGCGAAGGATATTTAAGGTAGTCTGTCCACTATTTGTCAGTTGGTGTCATCCTTGTAGATCTCTGGAAAACTCAGTAGTACCAGATCTCTCAATCCTATAATGACTCCCTCTATTACGGTATCTCTTATCCTGCTATCCTCTCTTCTTCCCCTGACTCGACCTTCCTGCTTCCCCATGTCTTCCTCTCCTCTCCTACTTTCTCCCTGCTTCCTCTCCCCTCCCCCCACCCATTCCTCATTATTTTAAAATAACTTGACCATGTACCTCATCACTGTCCTCCTAGGTTCATTTTAACCTAAGAGGAATTATTACTTACTATGCTGATTATAAAATTCAGTTTTTTTTTCTTCTCAGAAAGCATGGCTTGAATCTACTGTGTCATATACACAGTTACATTCTGTTATATGAGTTATAGGAAAGTATACTTCTTTTTTACTTGGAATGGAAAAATGAGATTGACATACATAAATATATTTAAGAGTTTTTAACAGATATTTTTGTGATGTTCTTAAAGTTCATTCCTAAGTGTATACACTAGATTATCTTAAAATGTCTACATACTTTATTTGAAGTAATGGGTTTTTAAAGATGGAAAAATTGAAATTGCTCCAGTTTTTTTAAGGGTAGGAAAAATTAAAATGTAATCTCTTAGATTTATGACTTTCTCTCATATTCCCAGTCCTTTTCCTTTACTTTTGTACTAGGTTTTTAAAATATCCTAGGGAGCAAGGCCAGACATGCTGGCACACACCTTTAATCCTAGCATTCAGAAGGCAGAGACACGAGGATCTCTGTGAGTTAGAGACCAGCCTGGTCTACATAATGAGTTTCAAGACAGCCAGATGTAGCTACATAATAGAAAAAAAAAAAACCCAGTCTCAAAAAGAAAAGAAGTAAAGAAAATAGTCACTATTACAATGGAATCTTAACCATACTTGGTTTAGGTTTTACTGGTAAAGGTTATTACTGTCTGTCCATTAGCCACAGTTAGCATAAGGGCTGAAAACTGGGACATGTCATAGACTATTTTATTACATGTAAGTGTGCTCTGTCGTGATTATCACTCTGTATTACTAAGTAGACATGTTTATGCAGCTAATGTTCATAACATGTCTCATCATTCCTGTGGGCTGGGCAGCATTCTGAGTCAAATGGCATCCCTCTTGTTGACATACCCTTACTGGTTGAACGGCACCAGCTGTTGTAACTGATAAAGCTCGATGTCTTACTGTTGGGATAGCGTACCAGCACTAATGTAGGTGGGAGGCCCACACATAGGCATTCTTTTATCTCAGGGCTCCACACAAGAACAGACAGGAATAGGAAGGAAGGCCTTAGTGTGGAGTGTGTAGAACTGTCTCCCAGGCCCACAGCTTAGTGAGTGGGTTACAGAGACTCCTCTCTGCCACTCACTGCATGAGTTTGCTTCATTGCCACATTTCAGTGGGTTTGGCTGTTTAACCATTTTTAATGAGGAGACAGTCTGTCAGATTTATCTTAGTTTGAAGATGTGCATGCTACGAAGAGAAAGTTTCCCCCAGCATAAAGCTGTCTCCTACTAATAACATGTCTACATAGTCACTGCACTCTGCTGCTGCCACCTACTGCTCATGTCTACATAGTCACTGCACTCTGCTTCTGCCACCTACTGCTCATGTCCACATAGTCACTGCACTCTGCTGCTGCTGCCTACTGCTCATGTCTACATAGTCACTGCACTCTGCTGCTGCTGCCTACAGCTCATGTCTACATAGTCACTGCACTCTACTGCCTCCTGCTGCTCATGTCTACATAGTCACTGCACTCTGCTGCTTCCTACTGCTCATGTCTACATAGTCACTGCACTCTACTGCTGCTGCCTACTGCTCATGTCTACATAGTCACTGCACTCTGCTGCTTCCTACTGCTCATGTCTACATAGTCACTGCACTCTGCTGCCGCCTACTGCTCATGTCTACATAGTCACTGCACTCTGCTGCTTCCTACTGCTCATGTCTACATAGTCACTGCACTCTACTGCTGCTGCCTACTGCTCATGTCTACATAGTCACTGCACTCTGCTGCCGCCTACTGCTCATGTCTACCTAGTCACTGCACTCTGCTGCCGCCTACTGCTCATGTCTATATAGTCACTGCACTCTGCTGCCACCTACTGCTCATGTCTACATAGTCACTGCACTCTGCTGCCTACTGCTCATGTCTACATAGTCACTGCACTCTGCTGCCGCCTACTGCTCATGTCTACCTAGTCACTGCACTCTGCTGCCGCCTACTGCTCATGTCTATATAGTCACTGCACTCTGCTGCCACCTACTGCTCATGTCTACATAGTCACTGCACTCTGCTGCCTACTGCTCATGTCTACATAGTCACTGCACTCTGCTGCTTACTGCTCATGTCTACATAGTCACTGCACTCTGCTGCTGCTGCTCATGTCTACATAGTCACTGCACTCTGCTGCTGCTGCCTACTGCTCATGTCTACATAGTCACTGCACTCTGCTGCTGCTTCCTGCTGCTCATGTTTTAGATTTTTTTTCAGAAGTTCATGTTAATTTCACCAGATGCTATGTTTTGCTTCAATACAACTTAAAATCTTGCTTCTTGGGTTGGGGATGTCACTTAGTGGCTGTCCCTTGCCACACATGAAGGTCCAAGGTTCAATCCCCAGTACTAAAAATGGAGGGGGAGCTAGCTTCTAGAAAAAAAAGTCTGAACATCTCAAGTATTATGCTAAATATTTACTGAAGTTAGAAGTAGTTAACCTTTATGACTAAGAAATGTAATGTGCCATTTCCTGTAATGTGTAGTCTTCCCACCAGCTGCCTGGGATCCCAAGTTGTCTCAGCCCCCAAATAACACATGAAACACTATATTAATTAAAATGCTGTTGGCCATTTTCTTGGTTTCTTATTGGCTAGCTCTGACTTAATTATTAACCCATAACTGTTAATCTCTGTTAATCTCAGTATTTCCACGTGTCTTCTCTTACCTGAGAAAGGGTCCAGCCCTCTTACTCCTCTGGTGTCCTATGTCATGACTGACTGTGCCTCTGTTTCCCAGAATCCTCCTTGACTCCTAGTCCCACCTATCTTGCTTTCCTATTGGCCAATAGTGCTTTATTTAATCAACCAGTAGGACAACATATACACAGAAGGACTTCTCCCATCATCTCCTCTTTTCTGTCTAAAAGAAAGGTTTTAACTTTAACATAGTCAAATTATATATTACACAGCATTTATCAAGTAAGAACCACAGTTACAATATTTAGTCCCATTAACATTTAGTAAGATTTTAAAAAAGTATTTTATCATCTATATGTGTGAGTCTAAAGTCTTGTATGTAACATCCTTTATCATAACTAAGGAAACTATAATTAGCTGTCTTCAACTCCATCAAAGACCACAGAAGAATAATGTATAAACTCTAAAATTGACAGAGACACCTTACTACCTGGACAGTCACCTGAAGTTCCTCTGTGAGCCACCATGTAGTTGCTGGGAATTTAACTTAGGACCTCTGAATAACAAGTGCTCTTAAACTCTGAGCCATCTCTCCAGCCCCTGAAGTTCCTCTGTAATGTTGAGGCATACATCTTCAGCCCATAGGCCACAGTGTATCTGGCAGACTTCTCAGCAAAGCGGGAAATTTTAAACTGTCCACCTGCATTGGCAGTTTGCCAGTCATTTTTCTATGTCCTGCAGAATGTCTGGAAGACTCTTCCATGAAGCAGGAACCCTGTAGGACTGTCCAAGTTCAGCAGTCACTTTCCTGTGGGTCCTTCATGTCCAGTTTATACAGCAACAATCAAATAGTCCAGGCAGGAGCAACTTCTTGCCCAAATGGCTAATCTTGCCATGTTGAAGCAAACTCCATATGAGTTTCTTCGATGCCCATCTTCCTCTCAGAAGTAATTGGTGTGCCAGAAGCAGTTGTATCTGTCATGAAAAACCCTAAACCATTTAAATGCCATATATTCTGTAGGTCTTTGAAAGGTTTGAAGATCTATCCATCTCAAATACAAGTTCTGATTATTATAACTATAATCTGTATTTAATTATACATTATGTTTTAAAAGATCAGTATAAACACAATACTTAAACAGGGGGAGAAATATACGTATCACAAAAATTGACCTTAAATTTGTATCAATAAATGAAAATCTATACCAATACAAAGTATTCATTTCTATATCATATTCCCTTTTTTCCCTTTAGAAAGAGATTGACTATGATCATTACTGTTTATAACCAACCCTGTAAAATGAAAACAATATTTGGGAATGTGGGTGTTGTTCATTCCAAACTGCGTCCTGCTGGTTGGGGGCGCTGTCCATCCCATGGGGATCATGACAAAACACAGAAACCTGGCTAAGTCCTTGGTTTTTGTAGTCTGTAAAGCTGCATCATCTCAGTTGTTTTAGATGCTGGACTTCCTGGGACACTGCTTCAGGATGTCTTGCTTCATCAAACCATAGAAGTCTGGAAGGAATCCACAGTTTTTCATTTTCCAAAGTAACATATCCTTATACTTAAATTTTGAAGTCAAGGCATTTTCAAAAGATATAAGTTGGATAAATTCAGCAGCATGTATAATCAAGTATATTTCAGCAATTGTTCCTTCCTTAGCAATTGAACAACTGAAAAACACAATAGCATACAGTATCCAGAATCGCTATGTATTTTCCATCTTTATGTGGCTTTTTATATATCTATATCTATATATATATTTTTTTATTTTACTTTTTACTTTTTTGAGACAGGATTTCTCTGTGTGCTTTGGCTGCCCTTGAACTCCCTCTGTGCATCAGGCTGGCCTTGAAATCAGAGTTCTGTTTGCCTCTGCCTCCCAAGTGCTGGGACTAAAGGTGTGTGCCACCACACCCAGCTACTCTATTTATGTTGTTATTTTTTTTCACTATCCTGTTCCTTTTTCTCTCCCAAGTGTAGGTATATTTTTAAACACACTATAAACCTTTTAGAGGTTTTACTTCATCTGAATCTGACTTTACTGTAAATCTTTGTTTTTCTAGCTATGTGTCTGTTAATCTGCTAAACAACATTGATAAAGTTAAAGCAGAAACAGCCACTGGCTTCTCAACATGGGGCTGTGCTCACTGCCTTGGTCTATGCTGCTTGGAGATGTGGTCACTGCCAGCTGCTTGTGCACACCATTCAATTGTTGGCAGAGCCTCTTAAAAGAGCCTTGCAGTTTTTTGCCTCTTATACTGAGTCAGGAAGACTCCATTAAGGGAGTTGTGTGAGTCTCTGCTTGTCTCTAGAAAAACAGAGCCCACCCAAGGAAATGCTGTCACCAAGAAGCCATGCTTCTCTCTGTTCTTCTGTTTCTAAAAATCCCTTTTTAAGCTTTTGTTAAGTGGAAATTTGTGCCCCAAGTCCGTGCGCCATATGTAACGTGTACTTTTCCCATCGGCCTGGTCCCAGAGCCACGTCAGTCCCAAATGAACACACAGAAGGCTATATTAATTATGAAGCTGTTGGCCATTTGCTTGGTTTCCTATTGGCTTGCTTTGACTTAATAACTGTTAATCTGAGTGTTTTCACGTGGTCTTCTCTTACTGGAGAAAGGGTCCAGACCTCTTACTCCTCTGGTGTCCTATGTCGTGACTGACTGTGCCTCTGTTTCCCAGAATCCTCCTCGACTCCTAGTCCCACCTATCTTGCTTTCCTATTGGCCAACAGTTTTATTTAATCAACCAGTAGGACAACATATACACAGAAGGACTTCCCCCATCAATTTCCTTATTTCACATTTATGTTCTATTCCAAAAGGTTCAGTGCCCTTGTCTTCAAGCTTTCTGTGCCTTATATAGAAAAATAACAATAGCAAGGTCCAGACCTCACTGCTATAAAGGCAGTCTGCATTATTCTAGCCTCCTGAGTACTTTTTTCTTGAGTATTTTTGCTTTTTAAATTAGATTAGTTTTAGATAGCCATGATATGAATTTAGAAAAAGCCTTGGGTTTTAAGAACAAACCTTGGACTTAGTAATTTTCTGCAGACTGTGTATATTACCATGCTTTTTTCTTGGAATGCAGCGATCAAAGAGCTTCCAAATGTCAGATTTTTCATCATGGCAATTTAATTAAGTGTTCTTAGCTCTTTTACTCCTGTAATTACAGTCAGGAAGGCTCCAGTTGAAAGGCTGGCACCATTGAATGGCTTTGTGAAATGTTTGCTACATTCGTAGTTAATTTTTTAGTGTTCAGATTTGGGTCACTGGAAAGATGGCTTGGTGGGCAAGAGCACTCAACTGTGAGAAGCATAAGAGCCCAAGTTCAGATCCCCAGGACTCAAAAAGGTCCTGACTCTTCATGTGCCTCTGACCCCAGCCTTGGGTGGTGGAGACAGGTAGATCCAGTAGCTCTGTGGTTGACCAGCCTGGCCCAAATGGCAAGTTGCAGTTCAGGGAGCTGCCCTGTTGTCCAGCAGATGCATCTGAGAGTGACAGAGGAAGACACGGGACTAACTCCATGCTCTACCTTTTCATGTGTATTTGTCACCCCACACTCACATGCATGTCTCTTGCACTCTTATAGCCCGGAAGTTATGTCTGATTTTCCATCTATTCCTCATAGGGTTCTAGAGGACCATGTACTAAGCCAAAACTATAATAAATCCTTAGTTCTCCTTCCTTCCTCTGCAACAGTGACACAGATCCTGGCTCCCGGCCGTGGCCTGAGTCCGACACATTCTCTGGCTCTCAGTCCCCACAATCTGTTGGAAGTGCGGCTGCAGACAGTGGCACCGAGTGCCTTTCAGACTCTGCCATGGACTTGCCCGATGTCACTCTCTCCCTCTGTGGAGGCCTCAGTGAGAACGGAGAGATTTCTAAAGGTATGCAGGACAGCCATGCCTGTCTTCACCTTAGAAGGTCAGCATCTGTCTTGTGCCCAGACTTCTGTTCAATAAATTACTGGCACGAGGGGAAGAAATTAATGAAATCTGCTTGAAAATGGTGTAAGACGTCTGAATCCTTGAGTGGCCTTGTGCAAGTATGGGTACCTTTCCATAAGGCCTTGTCCTTAGAGTTTCACAGTGTATACGTGTGGGGTAGTTTTATGAGGGCTGCTACCTGGAAAACTCTTAAGTTCAGATTCAGAGGTTGGTAACTTACAAGCTGCGCTGTCGGCAGAGCAGCAGGGTGGGATCACACTGCATCCATCTTGTATGTAAAGCTGTTGACATACCTGAGGGGTGGGAGGGAGCCAGTTGCCTTCCTGACAAACACCAGGACTCACTGAGGGAGGGACAGCGCTGTCCACTGAGGAGACAGTCTGTCCGATAGTCTTCCAACCTTTGTTCCCCATCTCCTGTGTTAAGAATTAAATGCAGAGCCTTGCACGTGCCTGCTAGGCAAGCAGCATGACATTAGCTACTTCTGATCCCCTTCTACTGTAGTTTAAATAGCACTGAGCCAAGTTGCCTGGATTGACCTTGTGTTGTCCAGGCAGATCTGGTCCCTCAGTTGTCCTGCCTCTGGCAACTTTATATTCATTTTAAATTAAAACTTTCTCTCAGTTTGACCCCTATCCTGTAATGGCCTTTCCTAAAAAGGCAAGGTTCCTTTGCATGCCTGACACCATCACATTGGCACTGTCCTTTGTCTCCTGTCCCCTCCAGAGCACTAGAGATGTGACGAGAGAGACTGGGTGAAGAGGGCCTGGAGCTGCCTCAAGTGGCAGCAGGGTGCAAGATGGTAGAAAGACGGTGGGAGTTTTAGTTTAGTTTAGTTTCGGTTTAGGTTGTTTGCTTGAGTCCTAAAATATGAAAGTATCTTTTGATAAATATGGAAAACATAGTTTCTTCAAAAGCCTTTTTTAAGCCTACAAGTCCTTTATTGCAGAGTACTGCAAGCATCTCCATGGGGATCTGTGCACTCACTCACCAAACTGATGCATGCTTTACGTTGCAGAAAAGTTCATGGAGCATATCATCACTTACCATGAGTTTGCAGAAAACCCTGGCCTTATCGACAACCCAAACCTTGTTATACGGATATATAACCGGTAAATACCATTGCTTTCATCATTGCTAAGTACTCTGTAGTTTTTAACTGTCATCCTTGTTGTCATCTCATAAATGAGCCAACATACAGTGATTTGCAAGTGAGACTGAACTGAAGCTTCAACTTATTTTTCCCTGAGTCATTGCAATGCTGTTACTATTTTATGGATTTTACTGCTTCTCAGCTCACAGAAGTTTGGCTTAAAGCAAATTGGCAAAATTTAATTGCTCATTTCTTTATTAGACAGAATAAGCAATTTGATAGATTATTTTTCCATTTTCCCTCTAGTCCCCCGGCCCTCTCTGCCCCAGCACTTTCCCCCAACCCTGCTTTGCTTCTGACTCTCTGTGTGTTTGCCCAATTTTTGTTTCTCGTAGTTACTACAACTGGGCTTTGGCTGCTCCCATGATCCTTAGCTTGCAAGTATTCCAGAAGAGTTTGCCTAAGGTGAGTGATCTGCATTTGAAGCGTCCCTCAAAGTATCTGTAACATACAGCAGCCCAAACTACTTGTTCTACTCAAAGTTTTAAGTTTAGTATTTTGTATCAGAAATCCAAACTGCTGTATTCATCCACTAAATCCTAGACAATTCACCGGCCTGCCACATTTCCTGTTTTATTTACACCAGTTTTAGACAGGGACAAAGAGTGCTCAGTGGTAGAGCACTTTCCTGAATGTGTGAAGGTCTGAGTTCAGTCTCCAGTAGCACAAAAGGAAGGGTTTATTAAATCATCAGTTAAAAATGGAATCAAGGTCTCCTCTGTATGGGAAGAAGCAGCAAGAAGTGGGTGATGTGGGCACCAGAAAGGTGACATCAGTGTGCTGGGACACCTGTTACATAGAACTTTCTGCCCGCCCACAAGATACCATTCGCCTCATCTGTCTTTGTATCATAAAAGCCACAGGTTACAAAGATAATAGGTGGAAACTCTGTCTGCTTGCAGAACCCTGAGGTCCACTGGGCCTCGCACCACAAACTACCCTGGAGCCTTGTCCTTTCCAAAGGAGTGCTTGCCTTTCCTTCTGGGCTGCTGAGAGCACTAGCGGGGTTTGAGAGGGGTGTAGAGCATCATGCATCTGTTATAAGGCAGTGAGGAGTCAGTGATCTACAGCCATTACACCTCCTGTATTAACCCACACTGTTTGCAGGCCACAGTCGAGTCCTGGGTTAAAGACAAGATGCCAAAGAAATCTGGTCGGTGGTGGTTTTGGCGGAAGAAAGAGAGCATGACCAAACAGGTAATGACTCTGATTTGTTTTTAAACAACTCTTTTTCTACCACTCAAAAAGATAGGGTACAGACACTGTTTGGCAGTAATAGTGCCCAGCAGTTCTGAGGAGTCAGCTGGCATGCAGGTGCTATGCTAGTGCTTTCTATGCTAGCGCTTTCTACAGATGTTTGAACTGCTGTTTTTTAGGAAGCTTGGAGTTTGTAGACAGAGCTGGGTGAGGCCCTGTAAGTAGTGAGGGTGGAGCCAGGGCAAACCTTGAATCTCACTCCAGTGCTGTGCTCTTTCTGCTTCCTATGTTACCCCTCAGGTGTGAACAGAGGGTACAGTCCTGCACAGATCCACATACAAATATGCAGGACATCCCTTTTAGCAAAGTAGCAGGAGAGCAGGTTTGTCCAGAGACCCACACTAAATGAGCCTTCTAAAGAAGAGACTCCTGGGAGTTTCACCTGTTGTTTTTCAGATAACAGAGGGTGGTCTCTGGCTGTCTTTCTCCCTTCTGTAGGTAAAAGACAGGAGAAGAGGGCACCAGTAGTCACTTCTGTGGTGTGATCCAGGTGTCTCTACCAGAGACATGGCCATTGGACCAAGTATATTTTGTGGGCAGCTTTTTGCAAGCAGTATATGATTTATGCCCTTTACCTTCAAGTGAAGAAAGTCCCTCAAGGTTCCAGTCATGGGTTGAGGTTTTTGTTTCCTCACAAGGATCACAACCAAAGTCTAGAGAAAACATTGTACACTGACATTTTCATCTTTCTTTCCAGCTGCCAGAGACCAAAGAGGGAAAATCTGAAGTCCTGCCAACAAATGACCTGCCTTCCAATGCTGAGGAGCCAACCAGTGCCAGGTGGGTACCCTTCCTTCTCCTAGCTCACAGCACTTGGGCAGTCCTACTTGGTTTTTACATCAAAGTTGATGTTGGCAATTCTGCTGAGTTTTCAGCCAGAAATATCTTTTTCCTGTAAAGAGACATGACATTAAGTGGCTTGTCAGTGCCACTTGGTAGATAAGAACAGCCTTTCCCAATTCAGCTGACTTAAATACACATCACTGCTTCTAACTACTGTACCCATCCCAGAGCCTGGCTACTAAGAAAGACAGAACTTTGGGAAGGGATCCTAGACATAATGGGGGTGGCTGTGCTCGTATCCCTACTCCCCTGCTTTTCAGGTAGCAGAAGGGACATGAAAAAGCTTTTGAAGGGTGGGTTGTCCCCTCCTTTGGACAATTGAGTTGTGTGACCTGAGGAGAGTTGAGCATGTTGTGGATACTTACATTCCCAACCCCGTTCTCTCATCTCTCACGTGGCAACCCTAGTCTAAGAATTTGTCTTCTCGATCTTTGTTCCTCTTAGAAAAGAAGCATAAAGTAAATTTTCTAACTTTAGAAATATTTCCTGCTATGTCCATGTATGCTCATTTTGCCAATGATGTTTTAAAATATACAGAAGTAACTTCCTGCCATTTACAAGAGGGAGGCAAATGGTGACCTTTTAAAGTTGTGGTGCCAGTAGTTGAGGCATAAGTACATGAATGTGGTGAGAGAAACAGCCCTTGCTGTCCTAGAAAGGGTTGAAGGGTTAATTGTTTTGAGACAAGGTCTTCCTGTGTAGTCAAGGCTTGAACACTTCCTTCTGCCTCAGCCTTCTGGAGACTGGAATTATGAACACGTGACACTTGTTTATTTTCTTGTCCTAAATTAAAAAAGCTCACACCTGTCAAATATCCTGCCTCTCTCTGACTAGTTTGGTGTTGGATAGGCCTGCAGAGAATGATACTTCGAGTGATGAGGGGTCACAGGATTTGGAAGAAACAATCAAAGTTGATGCCATCTCCATGGAGACGTTGAGTCACTGTAGCACAGCTTCATACAAGAAGTCTCTCCGACTCTCTTCAGACCAGATAGTAAGTATTTTGCAGTAGAGTTGTGCTTGTAGGAGAACAGCACCCCAAACCCTGGTGAGCAACTAGGGCCACTCAAGGAGCTTGTGATGTGGGTTCCTCCCCACACAGAACTCCTCCTTCGGTTTCTGGAGATGAACTGAGGAGCAAGTATGTTTCCCAGGTTTCTTTGGCGAATAACACTCCTCATTCAGCACAGGATCACATGCTGCCCCTTGGGATTTGTAACAGCAGGGCAATGGCATTTCAAATGCAGTTTCCTGCATCTCTCTTTGACACAGTTTTACTGTGAAATGGCTCTCCTGGGTTGAGCATGAGGCTGTAGTCAGACAGTGGTAAGTGATTTTAGGTGGGATGCCCGATGGGGAGGTTTTGTTTTGTGCAGGGTATCAGGAAATCCTTGAATGGAAAAACAGTACTCAAGCAGTGCTGCTTCCTCAACCTTTATGACCATGCTTGAGTTGCAGCTAGGCCACATGCTAACACCGAAGAAACCATATGCCCTGAGTTTTGTTGTAAAGCTTTAAACTCTGTTCCAAAAATCTGTATTTTCAGCTTTCATTAATGTTATGCTTTTTATGAAAGGCAAAATTGAAGCTCCATGACGGCCCTAATGACGTCGTATTCAGTATTACAACCCAGTATCAAGGTACCTGTCGTTGTGCAGGAACCATTTACCTGTGGAACTGGAATGACAAAGTCATCATTTCTGACATTGATGGAACAATAACCAAGTAAGTGAGCATACTCTGGGTAGCAGGAAGGATATGGGTTGGGAAAGCAGTCAGTCCTTAGCAATAATGAGATGTCCTGTAATGTCCTGTAAATGGAGTCATTTTTATAGGTGAGGAGGAGGTATGTGGAAACGTACAAATGAATTCTCAGAAGTAACTTGGAAAGATTGACTATTCGATTCCCAAACTCTTATGTACAAAGAAGACAAACTGCTAAGATTGTTGGGATGAGGAGAGAAAGGGATGTGCTGATAGATGTGTCTGTCCCTGAAAACAAACACTGTGCTTTCCTGTGACTCCCCTTTTGGGAGCACGTCGGGGTGTACTATTGCAGGGTTACCTTCAAGTTGCATGGAGTCAGGATGAAACCAGCTTGGGAGAGTGTCCCTGGCTTGTACACCCTACCCACCACCAGTGCTTATTGGAAGCCAGTGGGGAAGATGCTCTGCTGTATATGTTGGTTTCTGGTATCTGTTCCTATTTCTGCCCTCTTGCCAGGTCTGATGCTTTGGGACAGATTCTCCCACAACTGGGTAAAGACTGGACTCATCAAGGTATAGCAAGGCTCTACCATTCTATCAATGAGTGAGTACTCGTTCTCATGTGTCCTTTTCCCAGCTTTGCTTTGACCAAAAATTAGAGAAAAATGATATAAATCTATATACATTGTGTGTTCATGACCTAAATATTTTTTGGTTTTGTTTTCAAAAAACCCTTGTATATCCTATTAGTGGGTTTTATGTGCCATAACTCAGCTAAGATCTGGGAACCACCGACTTTCCTGGGTCATCAGAACTGTAACTGCTTGTAGCTAGGATTTATCAGGAGAGCTGACTCTCACACGTGGTTTATTTACTGGGTCTGTAGCATAAGCATGCTTGGAAAACAATTCCTCAAGGGAAGCCATGCCATCCTTTAGGGGTTCTAGCATGCCATTTACCTGGAGAGAGCTGAGAGCACCCTACTGTGAAAAACAGAGTGTCAGTTACTCAGGTGTAATTATGCCCCCTGTCCTATATAAGAATAGTCTGTGACCTCAAAACTGAATAAGGCCCCTTATATATAACCAATGTCTTGCAGATAATCCAGATCTGTCCACTCTGGATCTTTTTCTGAACTAGGTGTAGCAGTGTTTTGTCAGTGCTTTGCAGTTTAACAGACTCTAATCTTTTTTGCACATAACTCTGTTTGTCCCATGGTTTTTGTTTGGTTGGTTTGGTTTTTCAAGACAGGGTTTCCCTGTAAAACAGCTCTGGCTGTCCTGGAACCCAGAAATCTACCTTCCTCTGCCTCCCAAGTGCTGGGATTAAAGGCATGTGCGACCACCGCCAGACTTTCCCATGGTTCTAACCCTAATTGATTTCCTTTTTAGTTCAGTAATTTCATTTTCAAAGTAAATGAGAGGAAGTTAATTTAGAAAAAAAAATAGACATGGCTAACCTAGGTTGTTTGTATGTGTGTTTGTGCTGTTTTTTAGGAACGGTTACAAGTTTCTATACTGTTCTGCACGTGCCATTGGCATGGCTGACATGACCCGTGGGTATCTGCACTGGGTCAATGACAAGGGCACGATCTTGCCCCGAGGCCCTCTGATGCTGTCTCCCAGCAGTTTGTTCTCTGCCTTCCACAGGTAGCTTTCCCGAAGGTTCCTTCCCGGGGTGGGGTGGGGGCGGGGCCCAGGGCCCAGTGTAGTGTGAACAGACAGCTCTGACAGGTTCCCCAGGGTGTAGAGTGTCTTTGTTTTTTGTTTTTTTGTTTTTTGTTTTTTTTTTTTTTTGGCTCTCTGAAGTACTCAAAGGTGGCTTCACACCCATAAGCATTAAGAAGATAGGGTGATGTGAGGATGAAGATCTGTCCAAGAACATACTCTAGTTAAAAACTACCATTTTGAATTTGGTGATTGCATTTCTTTTTCTTTAGGGAAGTGATAGAAAAGAAACCAGAGAAGTTCAAAATTGAGTGTCTGAATGATATTAAGAACCTGTTCGCTCCGTCCAAGCAGCCCTTCTATGCTGCCTTTGGAAACCGTCCTAACGTAAGTGTCTTTAGAGTGTGTGCTGAATCCTGAGTGAACAAAACTCAGGGGGAAGTGCATTTTAGGGCATAGCCATGTCATAGTTCTCAAACCAGGTCTAGAAGCAGAATGAAATGGCTGTTCTGCCCAGTGGGGCCTTACTTGATGTACACCCCACACCCAGGGCTGGAGAGGTGCGTGCTTGCAGGCACGTGCGCTGGCACCAGAGTTACAAATAGTTTCCAGCCACCGTGTGGGTGCTGGAAATAAAACCAAGGTCCTCCACAAGAACAGCAAGTGCTCTTAACTATGAGTATCTCTCCAGTCCCTTTTTAAAATTTTTGTTGAAACAAGATCTCAGTAAGTTACCCAGGCTGGCCTTGAACTCATTCTGTAGCTTAGGCAGCCTTTGAACTTGAAATCTCTTGCCTCAGTCACTTGAGTAGCCAGGATTACAGGTTGGGAACTCCTGTAGTTACCTTTTGGCCCCAGGAGTGTATATGGAAGGATACCCCACCCCCATACTTTGAGCTTCTTTCCTCAGTTAGTTCTGCCTGACTGGTCTAGAACCATGGTGCTCTTACTCCCTCCTTCCTGACAGTTTTCACCCTGCCTTTTGTACTGCATCCTGTTGGGGGGCTGTGTCCTCCATATCTGGGCATACTGAAGGTGCTATCAGTATTCTCAGAAGACCCTGCTTTGCTCCATTGCTGCCTGTTTTCTGACTCCACGTGCACTTACTGGGTTTGTCTAAAGACTTGCTGTCTTCAGGGTAGTGGTTCTGGCTTATGAGGAACCAGCTAAGTTTTCACTTCTTCTGCAGGATGTCTATGCTTACACACAAGTCGGAGTTCCAGACTGTAGAATATTCACTGTGAATCCAAAGGGTGAATTAATACAAGAAAGGACCAAAGGAAACAAGTCATCGTAAGTACATTCAGGTTGTGGCCAGGGTACAGCTGAGGACAGATAAGAACTGAGACAGGCCCAGCCAGGAGGAGCAGAGCTGTACCTCAGTGAACATTCATGCTCCTTGTCGATAGCAGCTTAAGGAGTCTGGGTATTGTGTGTGTGGAAGAGTCTGGACCCTGGGATAGGGCTGAGCTCCAAGTAAGTACTGAGCAGCCCTCCCACTGCCCTCTGCATAGCCATGGTCTTGTGCTGAACCTGAGTTGTAAAGTAACAGCTTGTGTCTCTTTCCAATCCCTTCCAGGTATCACAGGCTGAGTGAGCTTGTGGAACACGTGTTTCCACTTCTCAGTAAGGAACAGAATTCTGCCTTTCCATGCCCAGAGTTCAGTTCCTTCTGCTACTGGCGAGATCCAATCCCTGATGTGGACCTAGATGACCTAGCTTGAACAGGGCCTGTGTGGCTAGGTGGGGACACTGTCACTCACCTCCCAGTAGAGACGGTAACTGGCCCTCCTACAGATGAAGACCCAGGGGCTGGCAGTCAGGAACCTGCTTTCCAGAACAGGGACAGAGTCCCCGAAGCTGGCACTGCCACCCCCTTTCACCTTCCCAGGCTACCACTCAGCACCTGGACAGAGGAATAAGGGACTCAGCCTGAGGTACAAGCCTGTGCTCCGTTACACATGGGCCCTCACATGCGTCCTGTGGAGTTGTGTGCTGTGTACCACTCAACTGCATAACTTAGAATGGAAGAAATCAGAAACCGAGAAAGAGTGAACCAGCACATTACTACACAAAGTAAAGAGTTAAAATCTCCACTGGTCAATTGAGGTCGCTTCTCTATATAACCAGGGCTTTCTCCAGAGGTCCAGTTAGTGTTGCTGCCTACGAGTACATGTCCTCCTGGGACACCTCCACTCTTGCTCACTGAACTAGGACAGCTGCTTCATGTGCCAAGTTGGGCAGCCCCCACCACCTGTGTGCCAACACCATGAGCCCAACTGCGCCAGCGTGGGCTTTTGGGGGAAGAAGGCCCTTGCATCATCATCTCCTCTGCTGTGCCTGCTGCGCAGTGAGGAAGAAACCGTGGAAGTTACTGTTTAGCCTGGCCAGAAGAACAAATGCATATTTTATGTCCAGAGTAATAGTGAGAAATTGGCTTAAAGTACACAAAAGGCGGCAGTTTGTCCTCACAGGTGTAGAAAGGCAGTTGCACTGGGTTCCGAGAGTTACCCTTTTCTCTGACACTGTGGATTTCAGGAATTCTGGGCTTCAGAGTTGCCAGGGGAAAAAACCTTTAGCTAGTGGCATTGACCAGTCATTTGGATTTCAATCATGTAATGAGTCCCTGGAAGCATGGGAGAAAGGGGTCATGGAGGGCCTGTGATAGCCAGTGCCTCAGCAGTGTTGCTGCAGATGAGGCCTCATGGGGATGTGGGGTATCCTGCATCTCCTTGGCAGCATCATACACTGGCCTGGTTAAGTGCTCTTGTCAAGTGTCAGAGCAGATGGCACCAGGCAAAGTTAATGCCCTGGAGTCTCCAGAGCCTATGATCAGCTGGGTGTGGACAGTCACTGCAGTGCGAGCATGGAGAGAAATATTGGCGGAAGGTGTCCTAGAGACAGACCTTCAATGGTTCTCAGTCACAGCCCTCCACTGGGAAGATGGAAGTGAAGGCTTCTGAGCGGGGAGGGGTCTACAGATAAAGATGGGTCCGTTTCCAACTCTACATGCCCTGCAGTTGGATGACTACGGCTGTGTCATAGTGTTTTAGGTTGCTTCATCCAAAATGATACTCACCTAGAGTTGGTTTAGAAAAGGGGTGGTTATTTTCCAGATTGGAGAGTTGAGTGTCCCTGCCTCATTTTAGTATTGCAGTTGAATGCAGAGACCATGGTAAAATTCTTTAATAAAAGAAAAAAACCCTTTGAACATAGTTCTCAGTGGCAAAACCACTGGAGGCACATGCTCCCAGAGAAGGGCAACGCAGGCTTCCACAGTGCTGACCTCCCGTAAGTAGTGCACATCTCCTTCATGAGTTATTTGTGTTAGGCAATAGGGAAACTTGGTTGTTTATTCGAAGTTCTTCCCATTATGCGAAGTTCTTCCCAGTTAGTGAAATAAGATTCTGCTAAAGCAGCCACCTGGCCACCTCCTGGTATTTAGCACACTTTGATATAAAGGATAATGACAGTTGTATGTGCTTAACCTGACCTTAGTAGAATCTCTGTGGTACAGAAAATCTTACCATGTTTCCTCCTTAGACTGTTTTAGTTTGTCCTCTATGGAGTTTTTGCCGAGGTTTCCTTCTCTTGACAAACTCTTTTCTTTGGACACATGGGCCTTTTCAGAGGACCCAGCTTAGGGTCTGGGACTCCTGGCCTGTGCTGATCTTTCTGCCCCAGTGTCCATTAGCCCTGCACTTGTCTCTGCAGACTGACCCGGGGTACTTAGGCTAATGAAGGTAACTCTTTTTCCTTACTTAAAGGAGTCTTCTCGCTGAAAGTAGATGAGTACTGTTACTGTAGTGTTATAAGGAATTAGGTTTGTGCCGAAAATCCATTGCCATTTGTTACAAATGACATTTGTTCTTTCTGTGAAAGAGAGATGCCCTCACGTGTGTTTGCACACAAACCCTTAGATGGCTTGTTGCAGTACCCCCTTGTCATCAATGACAGGTGATATTGAAGGGACACTGCCGGCAGATTGGCCTCTGAGTCACTCTGTCAGTTGTTGCATCAGTGAAATGGCCCCTCCGTCCTCCAGTTCACTCTCGCATTAATGTTTGCTTTGGTGTCGAGTGTTGAAGCTTGCACTGCTGTGGAATTGATGGCTGCTCTCCACCAGGCTGTGTAGGATACACATGTGGACCTGGGGCGTGCACACTTAGAGCCCCTTGATCAGTACTGCATTCCCTGTGGTCTAACCCATCCCGTCTGCATAGTTTCATGTGGAAAAAGAAATGTACTGTTGTGCTGACCCAAAACTAAAGCTGCTAAAAATCACAGAACAGTCCGGGACCAGAGCTGGAAGGCAGGAAGCTTCTGTCCTTCACAGCCCCTTTGCCCATGGGGCGGGTCCCCCCATCTGTAGTGCTCCTGAAAGCACAGCATCTGTGAGAGGAACGGCTGAGACCACATGAACGCATTCTCTTTTTTGCAAAGTGAGTGTTGCAGGAGCTTACCTTACAGGGTTATTGTATAGCTCTGGGACACCTTGTTTCTGAGCTTGAGAGCATGCTGGAATTTATTTTAAACCCGGTGAAGTAAGTGCTCTTTCCAGGTGAAAACTTGCTTTGCTTTGAAAGCAAAAGAAGGATTGCTCTTTGAATAATTATGTTCAGCTGATGATGTATTTGATCATTAGACAGCATTGTCACTAAGCAGTTTAAGTTGTGTAATTGTAAACACCAGTGCAGTACCTCAGTTATGGCAAAGATGTCTGCAGATGAATGGCTCATATTTTGGTGCAGCATTTTATGTTCACAACAAAATGTTACAATAATAAACTAACATAAACTGAGTGCATTGGGCTCTTTCCTTTAGAGGACCTTTGACCATCTTACCTGTGTTAGTGCCAGAGATTGATAATTATATGAATAGCATTTTTGTCTTTTCTAAAGGCCGAACCTCTTCCTACTGTCACTTGTAAACCCTGATTCCAGAACCTCCATCCACAGGAACTAACTTCTCTGCCCTGTAGGTTCTTCCAAGAAGTGATTTATTCATACATTGTTTCTCTTATACTCTGGCTGCCACACCAGCCCTTCAGATCCTCCCAGGAGTCTTACTGAGCCTTTAATACCCCCACCTTTACCAAGCCCTCCCCGAGGTATGTGGCAGGTTACAATCCTGATGTTTCCATCAGATAGCAGAGTGGATGTGACCTTTGATCACAACCCTACATCACATAGGTGATAACAAGAGTTAATGTCCTTCGTCCCTCAGATCACTGGGCAGTGGGCACCTGTTGGATCAGATTCTCTAATACAAATGTTTTGTTTGACGCTACTTTTCTGTGATAAGAGGCTGGGGTGAGAGAAACCACTTGTATTTGGGTGGTGTGCTTTGGCCTAGGAAGGAACAGTGTGATTGATGACAACCTGTTTTCCTCAGAACAGTTTAAGGTGCTGTCAGAGTGGAGTAGGGCTCCATTCGTGGGCTCAGAGGACCCAGCTTGTCCGTCCTTCCTTCCCATCATAAGATAGCATGAGGAAAACACATGTATGTTTAGGAAGCAACAGGGGCCAGACAAAGTCACTCTTGAGATCCATAGGCCTGGACTTGAGGTGTCTACTTCCCTTTGATGCTGCCCATGTGTGGGAAGCAAGAACGATTGTCACTGGGAGTGCTGGCCATGTGCTAATCTGGAAATGACTTAAAATACACCTTGAGCAGACTTGCGCTCCTTCTCCTCCTCGGAGGTTTCAGCTAGGTTGTAGTTTTTAGTCCTGCTTGGTGGTGGTCCATTTTGGGCAAAATGCCCCAGTGCATAAGAAGTACTGCCCTTGTTCCAGTAGCCAACAGCTCCCTGACTTCAGAAGTTGTGCCCTGAAGACAGTGGCCCTGTGGTGTACACCAGTCGTCCCTGCTTGGGAGGACGGTTTGACCAGCCTGGGTGACATAACAAGACCCTGTCTCAAATTTTTTTTGTAGGTCATGGAAACCTTACGCCTGAGTAAGTATAAATTCATTTTATATCTCTGACTCATGGGCTCATGACTTGTGGGGTGTGGTGACTTAGGGGGGCTGCTCCAAACTCTCCTCCCCCAGATAAGCCCTGCCTGTCCTTGTTTTCTCTCCCCCGCCCAAAGAAAAAATATTCTTCCTTTTTTTAAGCCTGTCTCCTGCATGGGCTGGCATCCAGCTTTCATTCCCTCTTGTCCTACGGCGAACATGGGTTCATTCCACTTTGCCTGATGGACATAGAGGTAAGTGCACCTTAGCCAGCAACGGAGTCAAGTCACACCCACACTGGAGGGCCGAGTTGTATAGATGCTTGGGAGACCTGTGTAGGAGTGGGGAGTACAGTGGCCATTCGTCTCCTCTCCGGTCCCTGCCCTCTGCCACAGAGCACTTGGCCAGTTTGGCACTGAAAAGGGTCTTCAAAGAAACATGTGAGGGGAAAGGGCAGAAGCAGGCATGCGTGCCAGCTCTGCGTCTTCCTAAAAACACTGCTGCTTTGGATTTTTCCATGAGTCACTGCTAGGAGGCCAGGATACTCTGGTAGCCTCGGTAGCCAACTCCCCAGCTGTAGAAACAGGGAGAACTCTAAAATGTGCCTTGCAACAGCTCTTGAAGCCCAAGGTATTTTCATAGCATTAGCCTCTTCTGCCAACTGGGTTAAGAACAAGACAAGGCTGTTGAAACTCTGGTTTCCCTGCCTGTACCTTCTACTAGGGACCTTTCCCTATGGATGCTGGCTGACCAACAACAGACTTTTCCCAAACCTGGTTAGCAAAAGCCCCTGCGCTAAATGCCCATCTGTGCCTAGAGCTTTGTGGAGCTGCTGGGAAAGGATTATTGTGCTAGACCTCCTAGGCTAATACGCCTGTCCTCTCAGATGATCTCAGCTCCCAGTCAGCCATCCGTGTCATATTGGGCCTCTGGTTGCTTAGGAACCAGAGTTCATAGTGCTGTCTCTGCCAGTGAGCTGTGTGGTGGAGCATTGAGCAGTCAGTCTCATTAGCCTGTAATCAGATCGCTTTCCCTAACAGAGCCCCTCCAGCTACAGGACCAGGGTCAGCCCTAGCCGACCTTTAAGGACAAAATCAAAACCCAAACATGTACATGCCTGGAAGCTGGCAGATAGCAGTTTAAAGGTTAGGATTAATTTACACAAGATTACTTTTTACAGCCATAAAAAGTTCTCTAGGTTGCTTCTTTTTTTTTTCAATCCATAAGGTGGCATCAGATACAGAGAAGGAACATAAAGTGATTTTGTCATCTTTATTGACGCTCCCTGTCTTTGCACTTATATTGTACACGTCATTTAAGGAGCCCAACGAGCTTCATAAATAATGTCTGTTACATCCCCCTTCGTAGCAGGGCCAAGGTGAGCAGAGTTGAGTCATAGACGGTAACAGCAAGCCAAGTGTGGGACAGCCCAGATTAAACTCTGGGTCCAGGCCACACCAGCACTTCAGTGTTTAAATTCTCCTACGTGCAGTTGCAATGTAGAGAGAAGCATCCGCTCCAGTGTTCTCCAGTGAAGGCCAACTTCAGGTTCTCCAGCTGCAACAGGCCCAGCCCAGTCAGGGGAGCATCCACAGGTAGCACCACGTAGGCCCAGAAGAAGCCAGCTTCCAGCCAAAGGGACTTGCCAAGTCTTCTGGGTGCCCAGTTAGAGTTCCAGAAAAATGGAGGCCACATTAACCGTGTGTCACTTTGAAGGCTGTCTGGAAACTCCTAAAGGGTATCAGTCTCTACAGTGAGGTAAGACCTTTATCCTGGGGGCAGGCGGAGTGTGTATAGCAAACTAGACCAGTGCTCCAGTTACATAAACGGAATATATTAAAGCTTTGGAGTTTTTACAACCATTCCCCTCCTGACTTCCCTAAAGGTGGGAAAGGAAAGGATACAAGAAAACACCACTAAAGGTGGAGTACATCTCATCAAAGTCTGTGTGAGCCAACCTGCCCCCAGTCACCACAACATTGACCCCATCCCCTGCCTTCAAGTGCACAATGAGGTGGAAGGCGCCTGGGCCCCCACAGGTGTGCACAGCTCCAGGAGGACGATGGTACTCCAGGAACTCTCTCCTGTACCCAGCTGTGTGCAGCTGGGCAACGCTGGCATTGGCGACAGACAGGACTGCTTCCACGTAGGCGTCCCTCTCGGGGGTGAGGGTGGCTGTGATCAAGTAGCGCCCATCATACGGTGCTGTGAAGATCCCTAGGGAGAGGCAGGCAGACCGGTGAGCTGCTGTGGTGCCTTCACCCGTGCCACACAAGGCCACTTAAGTCCTGGACCAATCTGGATGGTTAGTCACCAAACCTGTAGAAGGCTGCCTGCATGGAAGATTGTGCCACCTACCCCGTTAATGGAGCATAAAAAGAGCCTCTCGTTTTCAGTATGAAGATGCACCCGTGTGGCCTCTCCTGCTGCATCTACAGGCTTAGGCCACTCAGCTCATACTGATAGGTTCCTCATTTCATAGCCCGCTGTCTTAAGCTTGTAACACCCAAAAGGTAGAGTTCTATAACCCAGGACTTGGAGTAACTTTGTGATTCTTCTCACCTAAACATAGCAGCAGGTTAGAAAAACAAACCAGCCTTGACCTTGCTGGGACAGGCCGCCAGTTTCACAACATTCCTGCTCTGCCATGTGCTTCCTGAAGACCCGGCTCCTGCTGTGTTAAAAAACCACCTTCCTAAATCCTGGGTGTCTCTTGGGGCATTTCTTCTCATTGTGTACACCCAGAAGCTAGGCTGCTGGACCCAAAGCTTGCCCAGCCCAAGAAGAGGCAGACACTGAGCCACCCGGCCTTAGGAGGCCATGCGAGCTCTCATCTAGAAGATTCAGTCTCTTGGATTTGGTGGTGTCCACTTGTGACCAGAGACCCTGCTCTCCACTAGCCCAGTGCCCACGTGATCTGGGAAACAATGAGATGGACCGACCACTCATTGCCTCCATCCCAGGAAGGGAGGGTGCTAGGCCGTTATACTGAGAGCCTAGCCTTCAAGTCTGCCTGAGGCCACCCTGCTTCCTTCCATGCTTACTATTTAAATCATACCCTGTTAAAACTCTTAGACCCTTTCAGGAGGTGCCTGACTCCGAAGACAGATCGTGTAAGAGGCCAAGCTTTTATTTATTTGCCTGTCTGGTGGGGGCAGGGCTAGCTCAACATCACGTGGAACTTCCTTGATAGTACTGACCTGCTCATGAGACTAGTTCTAGAAATGAGAAGAATGGTGCCTGTTGGCGTATTTGTGAAGATACCAGCCTGTGTGAGTGAACAAGCAGTCCCTACAACCAGCATAGCCTGAAGTGAAAGAGCCTCTTGTTCTCAGTGGAAACCCCCACCTCTGGCACCAAGCCGCTAATCGTAAATTAGACTGCAAAGCTTTGCTCCAAACAGTCTGCATACGTGAATTCTTTGAGAGGTCTGCCAGTGACTTTGATGTAACTGACATTTCAGAACCAGTGTGTGTGTGCCTTAGCCAGATGGTAACCAGGCAAGGAATTGTGGAGAGAGTAGCTAAAGATTACCAGGAGGATAATGAAGACCCTGTCTACATAAACAGCAGTAACTGCTACAGGCAAGGAGACGGCGCCCCGTGGTCCAGACAGTCATCCTGGGTGGCCAGTGATGGCCTACAGGGGAATTGCTGATTTTAAGGGGTAGGGAAGCCCCATGCTTGGCAGACAGGAAGGGCTCTGTGCCAGCATATCAGGAGGTGGTCTAGAACAGGTGTGGGAGACCATGCAAGCCAGAAGAAGACAAGGAAGGCCGTGTGGTCACAGCTTATAGCAGGTTCCACCACACTGCCTTCACAGGGTTCCCTGGAAGCAGGCACGGGTCCGGCAGTCTCCAAAGTCCACAGTTTAGTTCTGATGATTCACAGATAAATCGTGCTTCGTGGCCCGTGTGAGATGAGGCCATGTGATAAAGCAGCTTATGTCCTCACCAGCTTCAGAGAACCAGCATGGGGGTGGGTAGGGGCGGGTACCTGCATTTGGATGGAGCAAGACAGAATCCCACTTCACTCACCAGTGTTGGGGTTGTAGACATCCCCATCGTTTACCAGCACCTTATTAAAGAGAACAACGCCTCCGTCGCTGGGAAAAGGCTTCTGGGTGAGACCGGCTGAAAAGGACACCAGGGCAGGCAGTGGTACCCCTAGAGACAAGAGTACATGGGAAGTGTCAGTGTAGGCTGGGGTGCCCACTATGCCTCCTGCCGAAGGTCCAGAGGCTCCCCTTGTGACACCGAGTACAGAGAAGCCGGGGAATTAGACAGGTGTGAGACACAGGGACATGTCGTGAGGAGAGTGGATGTAGAGTCCCACACCGGAATGGAGTGTGTGTAAGGAAGAATGCAGTTGTATTGTGTAGGTGAGACTGTTGGTGCTCCATACATAGAGAACCATCTAGGGAGCTGCTTCTTGTGACTCGATAAAGCCTGGGCCCCAGAAAACTCATCAGGACCACACAGGGCCCAGCCCACCCAGTGCTCCCCTTGGAAAGCGTGAACAGAGACAGTGTAGGAGGAAACATTCCTGCCTTTGAGCCCCTCTAGGGCTTCAGTCCATAGAGGCCATGATCTCGGCTGCTGGGTGTGGCAGGGCGAGGCTCCAAGCTCTGCCCGTGCCAGCAGCCCAGAGGAAAGAGGCAGGAAGTGCAGGGCCGAGACCACCAAGAACAATTCTGGTCAGGGTGCGGAGTAGACATACCTGGGGTGGCTACTGGAGGTGACTTGGGGTAGCCTGAAAAAACCAAGAGTGGATGTCAGATCCTGAACAGGCGTTTTACAGAACCCTTTCAGCCTAAGAAACGGCAAGAACACAAGTTTGTTTTCACCTGCCACCTTACAGAAGATAGACTCATCGTGATGTCCACAGCCCTGGTGGCTAAGAGGAAGTGTCTCCTCCCCGGTGTCCCATCTTACCAGATAGTCATGGTCGTGTATCAGATCACTGGGAAGAGCCAAGCCCTGCCCGGCCAATGGCCGCGTGCTCCTGAAGGTTGTGCAGCCTAATCTGTTTGGAAAGGGGCTGTGCATTGTCCCCAGCAGGTGTACTTGTTTACCCAAGACACATGGGAAACAAAACCCACCAGTACTGGCCTCTGAGTGCTGCTGGGATGACCACCAATACAGATGGCTTTAGTCCCCGACGCTGGCTATGTCAGCGTCATTTCTCTCACTTCTGGCCTGGGCAATTTCTTTGGCTATCCTGAGGTTCTTGATACCCACATATCAAATCAGGAAAGAAAAAGCGGTTCCTCCAAACTCAGTGCCTTTGGAAGCTACCTTTCTGAACTTTGCTCCCTAAAAGTAGAACTCTAGACCCACAGCGCGCGCGCGCACACACACACACACACACACACACACACACCAGCAGGCACAGCCTGCCATCCTGTGCCTTCTGAAGGATGTACATACCTGGTGCACCCGCATAGCCTTCCGAGCTAGGGATCGGCCCCTGCCCCATCTGTCCGTCCACTCCCTGGGGCAGGCCCCTTCCGGACATGCCCATCCTGCCTGGAGGCCCGGCTTCTCCAGTCTCCATGATGACCCCACTAGAGCCAGGCAGGAAGGGCAGCCCTGAGCGGCCAGGCCAGGCAGGCAAAGGTGGTGGCTGCAGGGGCCTCTGGGGCAGTATTGGCTGCTGGCCTGACTGTGGCGGTCTGACAGGGTCCTCTGGCAGTGGGGTCAGGTGGGGTGGCTCAGTGGGGGCCGCCTCTGCAGGTCTGGTGGGTTCTAGTGGGCTCTTCTCAGATGGTGGCTCAGAGGGTTCCTCTGCTAAGCATCGAGAAAGAACAGGATTAACATGTCTCCAGGGCCCCAGTGTGAGGCCTCTATGGCTAACTGTTGATTAGCTCCAAACAGCTGTGCCCGTATAGCTGAGGCATTGTCCCCAACAGGATGTAAAGAGTACCACCGCTCAGACCGATTGCCTGGTGTCTTCCAAAGGAACTACATCCATGCTGCCTCCGGTCAGCCAGGGATAGCTGGAAAGACAGCTGGGGTAGATGGTAACACTCCAAAGCAGGGTGGTCCCAGCTCCAGACCCCCCTTCCCTTTCCCCTGCATGCTCACTTCACTGGTGACACCTCATGCCATTGGTCACCACAGTCTCTGTAGCAAGCCAGCCTCAATGTCAGGCTGGTGGCCTCACTGCTGGTTCCTGGAGGGCTGCCCCCCTGGAGTTGGCAGACCCCAAAGAAACATCACCACCATAAAGCCCCACACCGTCAGATCACCAGTGGAGGGGCTTCCCAAGAGGGGAACCTCCTGCTTCATGCGTGTCTGGTGGCCACCACAATGACTCAGCCAAGAACTGCCAACCCCTCCCTGCTTTGAATACATCCCTGGAACTAGCCCTTGCTACGTGCTCACAAAACAGCCGAAAACATAAGGCTTGCAAAAGCAAAGACCTCCCAACCTCCTTCATTAGTCTGGTGCCTGCTGTGCCCCAAGACCTAGAGCTGAACAGTTACAGTGACAAAACAGATATTGTAGGTCACAGATATGTTGCTCTTCCACCAGAGAGCGCCTTCTCTGACCAGTTTTCATTAGAGAATAAGCTCCACAAAAATAAAATGAATGATCTAAGTCACCATTTCAGTTCTCCCAAGGGTGACATGTTTATAATCCCACTGTCGATGCAGGCAGTAAACAGGTGTGATGTTAATGGCTGTCCTGGCATCATTCAGGAGGTTGAGGCAGGAGGATAACAAGTTCTAGGCCAGCCAGCACTACTGAAACCTCTCAGGAAAAAGAAAAAAAAAACAAGCATTCTTTCTTTAAAAGCTACAGGAGCATGTGGTCCACAGAAAGAAGGGAGGAAACCATGAAAGAATTGAGGGTCTTGCACAGGACAAAGGTTAGAAGGTCATTCTCGGACAATGGTGAGGGAAGCCACAAGTATCAGGGAAAGTTCACCGAGAAAATTTGCTAGTATTTTAAACATGGAACTGAGAAGTTCCCGGATATATTTTATAATAAAGAAGAGCGTGTTGAGGGCTGCTGAAAGTTGAGAAGATAGCATGTTTCTGCACATCTCTGAAATCCATTTTCCTTTTTCTTCACATGTGATGTGCATGTATGCGTGTTTTGTATAGGTGCAGTACCCATGTGTAGAGGCAGAGGCCAGAGTTTAAAGTCATTGGCATAAGAACCATCTCTCAGTCAAACCTAGAGCTCACTGATATGGCTAGTTTTTCTAGCCAGCTTGCCCTGGGGATGCCCTGTCTCTGCCTTCTGGGCCTGGAATTACAGGCAGGCCTCCACACCTACCTGGCATTTATGTGAGTGTCCTGGCACTTCTGAGCCTTCTCCCACCCCCTTTTGCATAAGGACTTTTCTAAAAGGTCCTGAGCCAATTACAGTGGCGCACTCCTTTAATCCCAGCACTCAAGGGGCAGAGGCAGGAGGATCTCTATGAGTTCGAGGCCAGCCTGGTCTACAGATCAAGCTCTGGATCACTTAGACTCTGTCTCAGAAATAAATAGGATGTGAAAGCCAAAGAGACCAACAGGAAGGGGGAGAAAGGAGGTGAGTTTCTTAAAGGCACAGAGTCCCAGAGAGACAGCTCTGTGGGTAAAGTGTTTGGCCCCACCCTTAGCACCCAAGTGGAAAGCCAGTTTCACAGGCACTCACATGATGCAATGTACATGCGTGTAGATAAACAGTCACACACATGAAAATCAGGGTTACAGAGAAGGTTCAACAGTTAAAAGCACTGGCTGCTTTTGTAAGTTAAATTCCAAATATCCACATGGCAGCTTAAAACTAGAGTAAATGTAGTCCCAGGGGATTTGGCACCCACTTTGGCTCTGCATGTGTGTGTGTATATAATATATTTGACTGCATATATATGAACATATACACACACGCTGATATACATATGCAGGTAAAACTCCCATACAAAAATACAGTCTAAGGAAGGCAGAAAGTGATCGACATTTGACCTCTAGCCTCCGCATGCCACACCACCTACACACATGAACGTGTATACACACACGGAAGGTTTAAGTCAGCAGAGAAGGAAGAGAGAATGGAAGGTGAGGGGAGATGAGAGATCCCAGTGCTTCCTGCACTCAGGAAAATGCCATGAAGTGTTTTGTACAATTCATACACACTAAAAACCCACTGTTTTCTACTCTGCCCATAAACCCAGATTGAATCCTGCCTGCATCCCTAGTGCTGAGCCTCCCTGACTTGGTGCCTGCCCTTTAAATCACCTCCTCAGTACCCATCCCTGTGTTCTAATCCAAACACCACCCGCTCTGTGAAGCCCTGAAGATCTGCCTGGGGCAGTGGGGCGGGGGAGGGGGGGGCTGGAGCAATCTTGCTTCTAAAGCGAGAAGCATTATGACCCCTTTTGATTTTTGTCTATCTTCCATCTGGACAGGTGGGTGGATGGGTGGGCGTGCAATCTTCACTTGCTGTGGTCCCCGGGACTCGGCATAGGACCTAGCATGTGACACTGAGACAGAGGTTCTAAAGTGTGATAGCCGCAATTCCCCCAGGAACGGTGATCCTACCCCCAAACCGCTGCCATCCTGGGGCCCCAGCTTGAGCAGTTTTGGGCACACAGGACCATGATGGCTCTTTTTAATTTGGGTCTCTCAACATCAGACTCACCGTAACAAGTGGAAAACATCGGAAGCGGAAACTAAAATAATGACTGAGGAAAGCCCCCCCCCATTCATCTTGGGGAAGTCGGGGCTCTAGGGGGTGAGCGGAACTGTGTGCTGGGAAATTGCCGCCACCTCACAGGAAGAACGGAGAAAAAGCCAGTTCTGACACAGCTCGGGGATCCACCCCGTGTCACGTGGCGTTTCCACAGACACTTATTGCCCAACCCTAGCGAAGGCCGAGCAGCACTCTCCAGTCTAGAGAGAGAACTCTCCTGAACGCACACATTTCTCATTCAGAAAGTGAATTCCTCACCAGAGCCACCTGAGGAGTGAGTGTAAGGACACTCGGCCTCGGAGGAGGATCGGAGAGGAGGGAAGAGGAGAGGAGGGTTCGTCCCCAGGGGTGACCCCATCCTGTCCGCCAGAAATCTCTGGTTAAGTTTTATGTGGTGTCTCATGGCTAGACTCTCAACACTTAAGAAGCTGAGGCAGGAGGACTGGTATGAGTTTGAGGCCAGTGTGGGTCATATAGTGAGCTCCTGGTCAGCCAGAGCCCTGAGAAGAGGCCCATGTCCGCTTTACTAAGACAAGACTTAACTTAGAAGGCTGCAGCGCTCCGGTGCTGTCATCAGCTAAGCCGACACCATCCATCCGCGGGGTCTCTGGCTTTTATCTGCTGCCTCAGTACCCGAGCCACTCGGAGGGGCTCTGAGCTCCAGGCAGAGGCAGGCTATCAGTGATGCACCTGGCAGCTGGGTGCCCGCTAGGGTCTGCCTTCCAGTGTTCCATCCAGGTCTAGCTTTGGGAAGCCAGCAAAACCTCCCTGGGTCTCAGGCCCTGCAGCGCCCCCTCTGGCCATCCAGGCGGGTGCTGACCGTAGGACACTGCAGGAGCGTCAAGCGCGATCCATCCTTCAGAAGACGGGTGCGAGTGTCTGGTTTCCCCGTGTTCAGCACGTGTATCCAACCATTTGCTCAAGAACTGAAAGTGTGTGGGGGGGGCGGGGGACGCACTGACTCGGGAGATGACTCATTCAGTAAAGCGCCTGCCACGCAAGCATGAGGACCTGGGTTCAGACCCTAGCACCCCACCCGCGCAAAAGAGCTACATGCAGGGGCACACGTGTAACCCCGGTGCTTTGAGAGAGGGGCAGAGGCAGTTGGATAGATCCCTGGAGCTTGTTGGAAAGTTGAGAAACTGAGTTCCAGGTTCAGTGGGGGACTCTGTCTCAAATAAATAAATAAATAAATAAATAAGGTTGAAGGACGGAGAGATGCCTCGGTGGTTAAGAGGGCAGGATGCCCTTGCAAAGGAGTCAAATTCAGTTTCCAGCACCTATGTGAGGAGGCTCACAACTGCTTGTAACTCCAGCCCCAGAAACCTGATGCACATACCATATATATATATATATATATATACCTAAAAAATTAAACAAGGTGGAAAGTGACTGAGGAAGACACCAAGATTGACCTCTGACCTCCATACACATATATTACACCACATACAAAAATCACACACATGAAAATCATGTTTTAAGTTTACAGTCACGTGTTGGGCCATGTGTGTAGCTATTTTTCGGCCAACCACATATGGCCTGCCTGCAGGTCATGGGCTGGCCCCCGCCTGACAGGGCATGTACCTTCCAGCCATGTCCTGAAGCTGAAGAATCTACTCATTGAGATTTTGCTCTGTAGACCAGGCTGGCCTAGAACTCATAAGAGATCCACTTGCCACTGCGTCCCGAGTGCTGGGATTAAAGGCATGCACCACCAACCCCCAGCTTCATTGAGATTTTATACACTTAAAAAATCTCACCATTGGGCTGGAGAGGTGGCTCAGAGGTTAAGAGCACTGACTGCTCTCCCAGAGGTCCTGAGTTCAATTCCCAACAACCACATGGTGACTCACAACCATCTAAAATGAGATCTAGTGCCCTCTTCTGGCCTGGAGGCATCCATGCAGACAAGAATACTGTATACATAATAAATAAATAAATCTTTTTTTAAAAAATCTCACCATCTAGATGTACTGCATATACCTTGTACTCGCAGCACTTGGAGGTTTGAGGCAGGAGGACTGCAGTGAGTTCAGGGCTACCCTGGACTCCAGAGGAAGTACCTGGTCGGTGAGAGGTACGTGGCAAGAGGCTGTCTT